TCTTTGGTTCCTTTGGTTCACCCCCTGGAAAGGTCAGCGCACGCCTTCCTTGTCCCCCCCTCCTTAGTCTTTTCCCACCTGCACACTATCTTCCCCCCCCCCCCCCCCCCTGGACCACGGCGCGACTTTAGTCTTTACTCCTCCTTCATCTCCCTCCCGATTCCCTTTTCTCCTCGAGATCCCTCCACATTTTCCTGGTCTCCCCCAGAGCGTTTCATCTCGGCCCTTCGCCTGCTATCCTTTGCGAGTTTTTCCTATCCGACCAGAGGGAACTAGTTTCTCTCTCGCACGCTCTTTTTGGGAACCTGCTTCTCTTCCTTTCACTCCTTCAACTCTCATAAACCTTCTCGGCAATTCACGAGAAATTCCTTTCGTGTACAGACTTTGCAAGAAGCGCGCGACTGGCTTGCTGTGATTCGGTGTATGTCTTCCTCGCTCATTGTCTTGCCTGGTACCCCTGAGCCGGCATTGTGCAGCATCTTCTTCCCTCAGTATAGTTCAATTGTTATTGGACTGGGATCAAGACGCCATGTCAGACCGTCTGGTCGAGCGCATGCTAATCTTTGTTGATATAGATAGGTCCACTTGACGCAATACCCAACAGCTCGCGCCCCGTGCCATATCAATCAAGATGAAGTTCAATACTGTCGCCCTCACCTTGGCTACGGCCGGATCGTTGGTGTCTGCTCAGCACCACCACCAGCACCGCCACCACCACAAGCGCTCCCCCGAGACCGAGGTCGTCACCGTGCCCGGTCCCACCGTCACCACCTATGTCCTCGACGGAAAGGTCATCTCTCTGGATGAGGTTTGCGCTGGTATCCGCAAGGGAACTTTGACGTGGTCCGGAAGCGTTCCTGCGAATGCTTGCTCTTCCTCGACCGTCTCTTCTACCACGACGACCCCTTCGGCTACCCTCGCGGCTGCTGCGGAATTCATTGAGGTCGCCGTCAAGCACTCGAGCAGCAGCAGCAGCAGCAAGGCTACCAGCACCAAGACTAGCAGCTCCTACTCTTACTCGGCCAGTGCGTCCGCTAGCGCCTCCGCCAGCAGCTCGTCCTCTGCCACCGGTGTGGATAAGGAATTCCCCGATGGTGAGCTGGACTGCGACACTTTCCCCTCCGAGTACGGTGCCGTTGCCCTCGACTACCTTGGACTCGGCGGTTGGTCCGGTATCCAGTACGTGACCATCGTCGACGAGATCGTTGACACCATCGTGACCGGTGTCACCGGCGACTCTTGCATTTCTGGAGCCATGTGCTCCTATGCCTGCCCTGCCGGTTACCAGAAGTCCCAGTGGCCCAGTGCCCAGGGTTCGACTGGTCAGTCCGTCGGTGGTATTGAGTGCAAGAGCGGAAAGCTTTACCTTACCAACTCGGCTCTGTCCAAGAAGCTTTGCATTGAGGGTGTTGGCGGTGTTCACGTTCAGAACAACCTGAGCGAGGATGTCGCGGTTTGCCGTACTGACTACCCTGGTAAGCATCCAATTCGGCATATGTGAAGCACACGCATTAATAAGATCAGGTACCGAGTCCGAGACCATCCCTCTCGCTGTCGCCAGCAACAGCGAGCTTCACCCCCTGACCTGCCCCAACGGCGACTCCTACTACAAGTGGGAGGGCAAGACCACCTCCGCCCAGTACTATATCAACCCCAAGGGTGTCTCCACCGAGGTCGGTTGCCAGTGGGGTAACAGCAGCGAGCCCTACGGTAACTGGGCTCCTCTCAACATGGGTGTCGGTGAGAACGACGGCAAGTGGCTCTCGCTCTTCCAGAACAGCCCTACCACTTCCACCAAGCTCGACTTCAACGTGAAGATTGAGGGTGACGACCTGAGCGGATCTTGCAAGTATGAGGACGGTACCTTTTACTCCGAGACCGGCTCCAACGACTCCGGCTGCACTGTAAGCCCCTTGCATGACTTTCCTTCTCCCCTAAGTTCCCTGACTGATCTCCCTGCAGGTTGAGGTGCTCTCCGGCTCCGCCACCTATGTCTTCTACTAAAGGTAGACCGCTGTTCGGGTTGGTCCAGGTCTCCCGACCGGCTTGCAAATAGAAGAACTTTCATGCCTCTGTTCGTCTTGTTCATGATTCTCTGTCCAGTGCGCTTGCTTTCTTCTCTGTATCTTACTATATTGTCTTATGTGACTTGGAAAATATAGCCTCTGTCACATTTGTCACGTCGCCATTCGCTTGATGGAGACGATTGTGGTTAGACCTTACCTTCTCTACTGCAAAGTAACACTGATTTCGTCTTCTAGCCGCCATGTTCCTATTCCCCTAAGCAGCTCGGTCTGTGTGTCTCATGTTATAATCAATGCTTGTACAGTAGTTATGTTCATTCCAGTGTATTCCGTTGTGTTCCCATGTTGTGCAAAGGCCTCGATCGTAGGATATCGGCGGGGGAAGACCCGATAAAGTATGGGCGGTGGACACATTCCAGGGCATCCACATGCGTCATGCACGGTCTACTGGATCTGATATCACTGGCCCGGAATGTGCATAAGTGGAGCCATCGATCGGTGAGGTCTTCGAATTCAGATGGGTGGCATGTCAAACCAGCTGGCGCGGTGGTGACTGGCAGAGATTTCACTTTCGTCATCTTCTGAGGATCCGGGGGACTGGTTGGAATCGGTTCACATGCCAATGCTGGGCCGGGGTTTAAGTAGGTTGGGTGCTTGCTTCATGGCGATTGTTGGCGCCCGGGTGGTTACATCATGAGGTGATATTTTAAGTAACGCAATGGCGATGGTGGTGGTTGGGATGGGGCGGACACACCATTGAATGGGGATTATATATCGGGGAACTAGGGTGATGATGGCATTGACTGGGGGATAAGGTTCCGGAGGTTTGCCAGGTTCCTGTCACCGCACGGACGGGCTGCGCGATCAGAATGAGAATGGTGAATTCGGATGACCGGTTGCCTCTGAGCTGTTCGAGAAGCACACGAATTCGGTGCGGTCTTACGGAGTCCTAGACGAAGTCGTCTCTTCCACCCCCCCCCCTCCCCCACCGGATGAAGGCAAACAGACATGAACCGTCCGGGACCGTCAGTTCGAGTCACACACGCTAGTCCCAAAGGGGTTGGCGAGTCACGATCTGTACGAAATCCCTGCAACGTGCACATGGCTGGGCTCTTGGGGGCAAGGCGGCGGGTCGTCATTGGCCGAGACAGATCACGTGACCAGGCGCGCAGTCACGGGGACCGTACCGGACAACGCGGAGCACATGACTCCTAGACCCGGAGACGCGCCTCAGTCATCGGCGAGGCTATACTTTGTATGAATGAACCGTATACTTCCTTACGCAGGGGACAACAGGAACTCAGGGCGCCGCCAGGGTTGGTTCCCCATACCCCATACCCATCCAAGCCGGCTGTGCAAATTGCATACATAGTTTCGGACGGTCCAAGAGCGAGCCTGCGCGAGTTGAGTGGTGGAGCTCTCGACCCTTGTCGGCGCCTATCGAACGCGTCTCGGGCTGTAAGCGTGCATTTCCGCGCTGGAAGGACCAGACGCTCCGTTCCGGCAGGCATTCCACCACACACCATCCTTTCACCCTTTTCTTCAATGTTTCTCGTTTTTGCCTGGTCGTCTCCAGTTCGTGCCTCCCAACCTCCTGGCCCTCGTCTTGGGGGGTGAAGCCTCAAAGTTCCTTCCCTTTCATCCTTGACACGCTTCATCTTTTTGTCTTTCTCTTTCCTTCGGGGACTCTCTCGTGAATCGTTCCATAGACTAGACATTCCTCCCCTAACCTTGTCTCGACGCGACTAAAAAAAAACTCAATTGATCTGTTTTAAATCCTCTGCCCACCCCCTCTGGTTGCTGTTCGAGTGGTTTTAGGAATCCGTCCTCGGGTCGTGCCTGGTACGACGGCCTACCCCATAACATCATGGAGTCTTCGCCTCCAAGGAGCAGCAGCCTGGCTGCTCCTGTGGCAGGTGTGAAGCGTCCCGCGGCCCTGTTGCCTGCTTTTGAGCCATTGAGCTCGTCTCCCTCACTGCCTCGTCCACAGAAGCGTGTAGCACGCGACAATCATGGGATTGTCTCGACCTATCCTACCCCCGTGCCGACCTCGTCGACTCATATCATGTCCTCGTCCCCCCCTCGAATGGCCCTGCCCCGGACGGTTTCCCGGCGTACGTTTACCTCATCCAGCTCCGAACGAACCCCTCTGTCCGCCGTTCCCACTATCATGCTCTCGGAGAGCGGGGAGCCCATCTTGATGGGAAGATCTAGTGCCTCGTGTCATCACCAGCTGGCCGCCAACCGGATGATATCACGCGTGCACGTCAAGGCCACCTATAAGCCAGCACCTAATCCCTTCGACCCCGATAGAGTGGAGATCATGTGCATGGGATGGAATGGGATCAAATTGCACTGTCAGGGGAAAACATATGACTTGGCCAAGGGGAAGACCTTTACCTCGGATATCAAGGATGCTGACATCATGATTGATGTCCATGACGCCCGGGTGCTGGTCCAATGGCCTCAACATGACCGGAAGGATTATGCATCGACCGACTCGGAACAAACCTGGGAGGAGTCTACCCCCAAACGTGCCGCACAGTCCCGTCAGAGTCTCCACGAGAGCCCCAATGTTGAACGGCAGCGCCTGGCGTCCCCGGTCTCGCCGTCGCCGGCAGCGAAGTCGTTGGTGCCCCCATCTTCACCCTTATATACCCCGACACGCTCGCGCAATGCAGTGGTTGTCTACGAAGATGAGGCTTCTCCTGTTCGTCGCAACAATGAAGATCCTTTGGTCCAAGTCACGCGGAAGTCTTCCATCGTTGAGGATTTATTCCAGAGCTCACAGTCCAGTGACTTGAGTGACCTGAGTAAACAAGATGAATTCTCTGACCATGACGAGGAAAATGACCCGATCATCCATTCCTTTGGCCCTTTTGGTGACAATATCCTTCCTCGCATGGCCTCCTTTACGGCGGATGAATCCCCTCTCCGGCCTGCACGTCCCCGCAACCAGGCTTCCGCCCAGCCTCTCCAGCCCGCCAAGAGACAACCGTCCAAGGCGAGCGAGTCCGTGGAGAGCTTGACAACCAAGCTGGAGCCCCTTGACGAGAGCTTTGAACGCGTTCAGAACCATGCGGTCAACCAATTGGCCTTTTCACGTCTCTCGTCGACGCCATTTTCGACCATTCTGAACAACCTTCCCCCCACCTTGTGGAAGCGGGATAGCCACCACCGAGAGGGCCCTTCCAAAGATGAGATCCGCGCCATCCTAGATACCACCAAGTGCATTGGCAAGGTGGCCCGGGAAGGCAAAGACGCAGCGGGAAAGCCTTTGGAAAGCGAATACTATTACATTCCTGACTACGATGAGGATGACATGCGACGGGAGGCAGTCGTGCATGATCTTCGTAAGCCAGGGCTCCGTAACTGCCGCAAGCAGCATAAGGTACGTTCCCCTGCCGCTCGACGAGAGTCTAGCTAACCCTCATAGCAATACTTCTGGCGCAAACCGAAATAAAATACAAAACATTATCTGCTAATATCTGACACGACTTCTTGGATTCTGAGTACATATTTGCAACGTTCCCCTTTTCTTTCAAGGACTCGCATAGCGTGGCGTGGGCATACCCTGTCGATTTTCTATTGCTGTATGAAGGTGTATGATGACGGCGGTTCCTTTCTTCTTGCGTTCTGTTCACGGTCCCAAGGCAGATGTATTGTTTGTCCACGTGCGATGTCCACCATGTTTCTTCTGACCGCATTGACCATTATGAGTCAGGGTCTGCACATGTGGGCGCCCCTACTTGTGTCTTGTGCGACGTCCGTCAACGATTCGTCACCGACTTTCTTTTGTCCGTCATGGGGGTTGGAATTTTGTCCCATCCTGGACCTCACGACTGTATGGTATAAGTTTCTAACAAAAGCTTTCATATGTATGATAATCTCGAGTATATCGCGTAGACGGGAGCATCCATGGGTCTCGATCAGCATCACGTGCCGACTTGCAGATGATGTCTGGATGACTTCAGGTCCAACCCTTGATTTGTATCCCCTGGTGTCCAGGTCCTTCCTATCCAATACGCAGCCGGCTCGATGTCTTGGCCGCATTGAGACGTCAGCCCACATAACTCGCCACGGTCGATGCCAGAGATATAGACCTGTCGCAGACACCTTATCGCTGCTCTCATATCTAGCACCTCTCTAGCTCACTAGCAATCAACCATCTACAACCAACTCAACATACCCAAGAATACAAATACCTAACCTACCTCCTACCATCCATCTACCATCTACCATCTACCTACTCTCATCAAACCCCTCCAAACCACAACCACAATGACCACCAACACCACCCACGATATCCAACCCCAAGACCCCCTCCCCAGCATCCCCTCCACCTCGACCTCCACCCACACTACCGAAGAACCCCTCCCTACACACCCACATCAAGATGATATCCACCACCCAGCATGCATGGAAGACCCCAGCAGCCGGATTCTAGGCAAACCGGTGAAACCGCCCGTGGTCCGACATTATAGTTGGAGTGAGGAGGATCGGAAGCATGCGCTTCAGGCGCGGTTGTTGGATCCGGAGGAGGGGAGGGAGGGGGGGTTTACGGAGGCGTCTAGGGGAGAGGAGGGGTGGGGGGTGGTGGGGGTTGTATTGAATGAAGTGTGATGTTGTTGGGGAGGGGATGGGATGGATGGTGAAAAGAGGGGTAGGTAGCAGGTATGGTAGGGTTGGGAGAGGGAGAATGTAATGCGTTTCACCTATGAGGGTATGGTAATGTGTATTCCAGCTCAGTTGATAATGAGTAGTAAGAGCAAGGAAGAAAAGGGAGAGAATGTACGAGCCGACTCCGTACGGAGTATGGCATAGCATCGTTCCTTGGAAGGCCTAAGGGTTACAGGGTAGATAGCAAACTTCCCCTCCGCCTTCGGCCCACCTCTCCAGGCTCAGCGTGCTTCTCTTCACTCAACTTCCGTCCGTCAGTCAGCCACTACCAGGCTTGGATCGCCCCCCTCCCCCCTTGACGCCCGAGACATTGCGCGTCTCTTGTGTGTCCCTGCCCGCTTCACCAATGTGGCGTTCAAGTCACTTCAGCGTTTTCCTTTCCCACTCTTTGAAAGGTTCCCTACGACAGTTGAGTTGAAATCCACCCACGCGCGGATTGCGGTGACACCGCACGGCGGCAACCAACCAAGCAAACAACCAAGCAATGGATCGTCATAGAAAGCGTTGGTTTCTCCACTCGGTTTTTTCATCTTGAGAGCTACGCCGACTAACGTTTGTTGTTGTTGTTGTTGTTGCTGGACAGGCGATCTCCGTCTTCTCAATGAGAGGGTGTGGGCCGGCGAGAGTGGTATTCTCTTTCTCCCCACCTCATCGGTGATGACTCGGGCTCAAAACTAACTGCACCTAGATGTCTTCCCGACCAGCAAATCTCTCGATTCAGCCCTGAAGAAAAACACCGCTTTCATCAAGCGTCTCCGCACCGGAATCAACGCCGCGGCCCAACAAACCTTCCTGACCGATATCCGCACGCTCTCGCTACACAAATACCTATCGGAAATCATCTCCGCCTGCTACGAAGGGCTCTGCAAACTCAAGTCGCCCGGGGAAATCGCCACAGGGGTGGAGATTACCAGTGCGCTGCATCAGCGATTCGGTCCTGGGGAATTCACCCGTCAGATTGGATGGTTGCTGGGGCGGGGTCTGAGTACGCCGGATAAGGGACAGTTGAAGGCGCTTAGTCAGGAGGTGCGCGAGCGTGAGGAGAAGGAACGGTTGTCGCGGCATCGGGTGTTGTTGCGGGTTGTGACGGAGCTGTGGCTGGTGGGGGTGCTGAAGACGTTGGATGATATTGAGAAACCGGATGATGTTGGGGCGAAGGGCAAGGATGGTGTGGTTGGTATTGGTGCCAAAGCGACCGATGGGCCGGTGAAGAGGGTTCCTCCGGCAGCTGGGAAAGATGGGGATAGAGATCCGGAACCGTTTCCTCTGGAAGTGTTGAAGGACCTTCTGGGACATGATCGCGATCACTCCAATCTGCCTCTTGCGGTTCTCTTCGTGAAGAGCTTTAGTTGGGATGTGCTGGGGGTGAAGATGGTTGAGGAGGGTAGGAAAACTGTGGAAGCTGATGGCGCTACGACTAGTGCTTCGGAGACTGTTAACGGTGGCGGCGAGGGTGTGGACGAGACGGGCGACGCAGAGAATGATCCCCCGCTTACTTCGGAGAAGGTTCAGCTTCGGTTCAAGCATATCCTCAACCGGTATCTGGAGGATGTCAAGGCGCATGTGGTTCGCGACCAGAGAGCGTTGGCCGCCCAGAGCCGTCGCAACGCCGAAGCCTACGTCAAAAGCGGCGAAATCTTCGAAGACCGCCAGGCCAACTTCGAGAGACAGACCAAATCGCTGGAGAGGCTGGTTGCCAATACCCAGGTCTTGTGTGAGGTTCTGGGTGTGGAAATGCCAGCTTTGGCGGAGAAGGAGGCTGCTGATGCTGGCGCGGGCGGAGGTATCGGCCTGGTGAAGGCGAGCGAGTACTTGCGTGGACAAGGCGAGGGCGCCGGCATCTGGGAGGACGAAGAGGAGAGACGCTTTTACGAAAATCTGGTCGACCTCAAGGGTAAAGTGCCCGCGGTGCTGCTGGAGGACGGCAAGAAGAAAAAGACCGAGACCGATGAGGCAGGGAAGAGGAAAGATGAAGGTGCTGATGAGAAGCCAGAGCCGACTGGTCAAGCCCAACAATCCGAGGAAAAGACATCGGACGCCGATGATCAGTCTATGGCTATCGCCAGCAAGACCGTCGGAGCTCAGGTGGATGCCCTTCTCGCAAAACTGCCCGATCTGCAGACCAAGGATCAGGTGGACCAGCTGGCACTAGACTTCTGCTTCCTCAACTCCAAGGCATCGAGGAACAGGCTCATCAAGGCGGTTTCGGATGTTCCCAAAGGCCGTATCGACCTTTTGCCACTGTACTCGCGTTTGGTTGCAACTCTGGGACAGTACATGCCCGATATTCCTCAAGGTCTTACCACATATCTGGATGAAGAGTTCCGGAGTCTTCAGCGTCGCAAGTCGAAGGAGTTCCTGGGTCAGGTCCGGATGAGCAACGTCCGTTATCTCGCCGAGCTGACCAAGTTCGGTGTGGTCCCGGAGCATATAATCTTCCATTGCTTCAAGGTTTCCTTGGACGACTTTTCTCGCATGAACATTGAAATCATTGGACATCTCCTGGAGAACTGTGGACGCTATCTGCTTCGGAATCCTGATACCGCTCCAAGAATGGCCTCTTTCTTGGAGACTCTCGGACGGAAAAAGACCGTCCAGCATCTGGGTCAGCAAGAACGGATGATCATTGAGAATGCGGTCTACTATGTCGATCCGCCACCGCGACCTGCCATTCAGCAGAAGGAGCGCACGCCCATGGAATCCTACATCCGGCGACTGGTCTATCTGGACATGAACAAGCGCAACTACACCAAGATCCTCAAGTCTATCCGAAAGCTTCACTGGGAGGAACAGGATGTGAGTATAGCCTGCTAAGCAGGTAGAAAATGTGGCTAATAAGATAGGTGGTCGACATCTTGGAACGTGTCTTCAGCAAGCCAGTCAAGGTCAAGTACGGCAATATCCACCTTCTCGCCATCCTCGTCAGCGCCCTGTACCGGTATCACCAGGATTTCGTCATTGGAGTGGTGGACAACATTTTGGAGCAGATCACACTGGGTCTAGAGCAGAACGACTTCAAGTTCAACCAGAAGCGTGTCGCCGAAGTCAAGTACCTGGGAGAGCTCTACAACTACAAGATGATCGATTCGCCGGTGATCTTTGACACCTTGTATCGCATTGTTACGTTCGGTCATGGTGAGTCGTCGATGCCAATTTCCACATGGTCACTAACAGCGCAGAAAATGGCACGCCGATGCCCGGAAAGATCAATCCGCTCGATTTGCCGGACGACTTTTTTCGTGTCCGCCTGGTCTGCACCCTCCTTGACACCTGCGGTCACTGCTTTGATCGGGGCTCTGCGAAGAAGAAGCTTGATTTCTTTTTGACTTTCTTCCAGGTATGGTCTTATTCGCTCAAATAAAGCTATATCTAACTCGACCAGTACTACATGCATACCAAAGACCCCCTGCCCATGGACATTGATTTCCTCGTCCAGGATACCTTCTCGATGACTCGTCCTCAATGGAAGTTGGCAACGGATCTGGCCGAGGCTACGCAGACCTTCAGTGACGCTGTGGCACAGAACTTCAAGACGCAAGATTCCGAGAGACCTGCCGAGCCTGACGAGGACGATGCCGAAAGCAGCTCGTCGGATGAAGGTCTGGAGGAAGATGCGATCCCTGAAGCGGAAGAGGATCAAGAGTCCAGCGATGAGGAAGTAAGTTATCAGTTCGACAGTAATGGCCTAGTGCTGACAAGTCAGGTGTCCGGTCCAAATGAGCAGAATGGCGATAGTGAGTCTGAAGAAGAGATCTTTGTGACTCGTCAAGAAGAGGAGCGCGACCCAGAGGCAGAAGCCGAGTTCGACCGCGAATTCGAGAAGATGATGGCGGAGAGCATGGAATCTCGGAAATTCGAACGCAAGGGCGTGTTTGACATTCCTTTGCCGATGAAGCGCTCTGGCCGTGAGGCTTTGCTTGAGAACGCGCCCTCGGAGGCACCTAAGCCCATCGCCAATACCATGGCTTTCTCTCTAATGACCAAGAAGGGCAACAAACAGCAGGTATGGGTGCCAATAGCATTCGTTAAGACATGCTGACCGCCTAGACTCGCACAATCGACCTGCCCTCTGATTCCACCTTCGCCGTGGCCATGAGAAGTCAGCAGCAAGCCGACCGGGAGGAGCAGCAACGGATCAAAAACTTGGTGCTCAACTACGAGATGACCAATGAAACCGAAACCAACACCGAGGGTACGACCACCAACAACTCCGTTGCCAAAACCAAGCTAACCTCCCCATCCCCAGCCGCCGAGAAACGCTCCCCCCATCGGGACACCAGAATGGACAAATCCAGCGCGAACCGGACTGCCTTCCGATCCCGCAAACTCCAACTAAGCGACGTGAACTGGTAGATGAGTCCTGAGACATCAATATGGGTTCGACCTCGCAACAAGTCCTCACGACTACACCCACGCTCTTCCAACATCAGCGTCAGTCATCCAGCAGTGGAGTAGATACCTAGTCAGTTGTCGCAGTCACGTACCGGGGGACAGATCCCTCACTGAACCTGTCATTCACCACCGACGTGCAGACAATCTGTCTATCAGTATCAGTATCAGTATCACGGATCACCGATAGATCGATGTTCAACATGGCTATCGTCTATGATGTGATGTGCTGTGATATGCTATGAGACGAGTGCAACAGGCCAAATCATCTGTTCAACACAGTGATCCTGTGCGGGTTTCTCAACCATACACACATACATGGTAGGTAAACAGGAGATTCAGCGCAGGGGTCTCGGCATCGATCACATCTATTCCCATTGCCTAATCTAGGAATACACATGGGGTCATTAGATTCTGCTAAATCTAGATGCGATGTGATATGGTAATCCCCAACCCCATGGCAATTGCATTAGCTAGGTATCTCATTTCACATCATGGACATAGAATATCATCTACTAAATACAATACGAAATTGAAGGATTACTTAATCATATGTATGGCCTGTTCTACTTTAGAAAGAAAAAAAAATAAAGGAAAGAAAAACAAATCTATGTCTATTGTTTCTACCGCGTGACTTCTGCCTCCTGCCTCCTTTTGACCGAGATGCTAAACAAACGGAACTGACGCATGAAAGAAATGATAAGGAAATGAAGATAAAAGAAAGGAAAGATACAAGTACAGGTACTTAGATACAGGGTGGAGTTCAATAGAAATAAGCAGGAGGGGAGGATAAAGAGAAGAGTTGGGGATGGGGGAATGTGATTGATGCAGATTGATGAAGCCAGAGCAGAACCTGATACTGGAATAGCGGAGAGGAGCATAACCAGAATAAGAGAAGCAAGAACGGAATAGCAGAGAGAGGTGTTGTATAAGGGTATAGGGTATAAGATGAGAATTTGAAAGACCAAATCAAATCAAATCATGCATATAATAATACATAGCCCCGATCTTACAATCCGGACCCCCCTTCTCTTCCCCTCCCTCATGTCTTCGCTGCTAATCACATGTTCTGATTAATCCAAGCTTCTCGCCAATCCTGTCGGAGGTATCGTATGTATTGCTCCGGGTAGCACTATTTCTCGGCATCATGGGCAGCCTTAGGAACCAAGGCCTGGCTCTCAGCCAGCTCACCCTTCTCCGCGAGTTCCTGTTTCGTCTGGGCGACGATCTCCTGTGCCTGGGCGCGCTTCTCCTCGGGCAGAGAGGCGGCGTCGATCTGAGCGGCCGTCACGGGCTGCTCGTCGGAGGTCTCGGGAGTAGCGGGAGCGGGAGCGGCCTCGTCGTCTTCGAGCTCGGCCCCGTACACTTCAGGATGTTGTCTGAAGCAGTTTTGCATGCCCCTATTCGGTACCACATTAGTATTCGTTCCTCGCACACGATTCTGGTTAGTCAGGTAGGAGGAAGCGGCAACGTACTGGAACTTGTCAATGCAGTCAATACCCTTCGGCTCTTCGGACGAGTACACGAAGCAGCTGAACGCGGCCTTGAACTCCTCGCCACAAGGTCCGTGGGCCATACCACCCAGACACGGGCAGTCCCAGTTGATCTCGCCGGTCTCCGGGTTGAAGGCACCTTCCTGGCCGGCCTCGGCCTCGAGTTCCTCGGGGGACATCAGCGCGGCGTCGGAGGGGGGTTGCGCATCTTGTTGGGGGGCAGCGGGGGCGGGAACAGGAGCAGGGGCAGGGGCCGGCGTAGGAGCCTTCTTCTGTTCACGGATCTTGGGCTTGACGGAGTCGAGGGTGAGGGTGGTGTTGGGTTCGACGGAATCGGAGTCGGTTTGCGAGAGGAGGGAGACTGGCTGTCGTTAGTGGGTTTGGTCCGGCGCGGTGGGTGGCAGGGGAGAGGGAATTTCCCGCGGGCACCTACACGACGGGGTTTGAGCAAAGATTGGGCTCGTGTTATAGTAGTAGACGGCGCCAATGGCCAGACCCAACCGGGCAGCGGTGTTCTTCCAACTCCTCGGCTTGGAGTCTGCGGGTGCGGTGCTTATCAATCGTCTGCTGGCCGGGCCACGGACGGCGACGGCGGGCGCGCGGAGAATGGCTCTGGGTGCGGAACGAAACATGGTGTGCGAGGCGAGTGAGGAGATAAATGGAGAGGAGACCAGCGAGGAGGGGGGATGATCACCGCGAGGGGAGCGTCATGAATCGGACGGAGAAAGTTGGATGGAAATGCGGAAGCAAAGCAGGCAAACCAACAACCGGCTGGCCAACCAGCCAGCTTGGCGCTAGATGCCTCAGGCAGACACTTGCCCCTTCGGGACGCAGCGGTGGTCACGCCGGCATTGGCCAATCAAAGTCCCGCGCGATACGCTGTTGGTGCTTCCCAGCGCTCTCCTCCGCATTAGATCCTTTTTCTCCTCCGAGTCTCGCGGTGGTGTGCTCGGTCGAAAAAAGATGTAAATAAGAACCCCTCCCGAGTCTCTGCTCGGACAGAGTTCCTGTGCGATTCTCGACACCCTCAACTCCAGCCGCAGTCCTTCCTCCGCACGCTGTACATACGAGATAGTACTGGAGATACATACTAATACGGACAAAGTGCACTATACAAGATGCCTCCCTGTAAGTCCTACGATTCCTGGTTGATGTTCACACCATTTCTGACTCCTCAAGCTTTCCGCATGTCCAGGACCCGGTTCTCGCTGGAAACCATCCTCCTCGTGTTTGGATTCTGCAGACCGATCGAGCAGTGTCTGTTCCTGTTTGCTGCACCGGAGCTCATCAACGTGCTGCTCTCGAAGCACCTCACGACGCGGGAGGACAATGGTGACACCACCTTGCACCTCATGGCCAAGGACCAGGCCCAGGGACGGTCCAGACTGATCGCCCGGGCCCTGTTCTCCCGGAAAGACATCGACGTGAACGTGCCAAACGGCAACGGGAAAATTCCCCTGGTGTGTGCCGCCCAGCGGGGGAATCACTGGTTGGTCAAGCTGCTGCTGCTACGGGGCGATTTCAACTGGACCATGTTGGACGCCTTTTCCTTCACTCCGCTGGTGTGGGCAGCCAAGAAGCAGGACAAGGCATTGATGAAAGCCCTCCTGTCTAACAGGAACATCCGCCTCAATGAGTGTGACGTCTTCCGGCGAACGGCGCTGTCGTACGCGGCCGAGTATGGGAACGAGGGCATGGCGCGGCTGTTGCTCCAGAATCCGGCTGTAGATGCCGAATGGAGTGATGAGACTGCCCGATCGCCGTTGTCCTATGCGGCTGAATCTGGCAGTGACAGGATTGTCGAGCTGCTTCTGGACCGCGAGGAGGTCAACGCGCACTCGGTGGATTCGTATATGAAGACGCCGTTTGGCTATGCAGCGGAGTACAACCACATTGGTATCATGTTGGTTCTGAAAGAGTGCGAGTATTGAGGTTGTTGCAGATATGCAGTGACGGAGTGCTGTTCTTGGTTATGTGCCCGATGATTGTATTCTCAGCGGTGTTGCCAGCAGATGTATGCAGCTTATACTAGTGTAGTTAATGTCATATGCTCACGCAGTTCTATACCATGTTCCATTGTAAGACATCCGTCAGCCCGAGCTTCGTCAAGGCGCTGAGTTCGAACACGAGAAGACCCATCAGCAGAGAAACGCCACCAATGCATTTTCACTGGACAGGCAACAGTCGTAAGAGCACCAACTTAAGCGATGTGACGAGAATATCGGGATATGTCTCAGTCCCCATTGGTCGGCTCTGCTTTGACGCTAAACCCAAAGTGGTCATTCATCGCGATGTCTCCACCAGCCCTGAGATGGCTATGCATATACCATCAAGAGAAGGTTTTGCGCAGGAGTGAGAAAAAATGTAAGAGAGATGTTCGCATATATAGCTAGCCCGATGGGCTTTGCTCTGTCTCATATCTTCGTCCAGTCGTTTACTCAAATCCTTCCAATTCAGCTTATTAGTTGCGTTCCAACATGGCAAACAGTTCTGTCTTCACGATTTCTCGCGAGAAGCGCTACATCGCTATCGCTGAGATCATCATATTTTCGGTCATCCAAATTGTTCAGTTCCTCATGAAATTCTCCCAGGAATGGCGGTATTGGCATCACAACAAACGCAAGAGCTATGCCCGTTGCTTCATGTATTCTTGGTGGGGAATGTTAGGCATTTTGGCCCAGCGTATGTATGAAGATCCCGTCACGAGCATGACTGACAGCCACAGTTCGAATTGCTGGGTCGGCTATAGTGATTGCCAACTCTAGGCCAGACCAGTCGTTGCGTATCGCTGAAACCGTCTTACAAAGCATTGGCCTATCGCCGCTTTTGTTTGAAGTGAGCCTCGTGCTTCTGCGAAGGTATGTGAGCGGACTCAGAAAGAGGATGAAGCTGATAAGTCGTAGTGGACAGTCCGGTCGAACCGGTCCTGGAAACTCCCGATATCCCAAGCACATTCGGTTTCTGCTCCACTTCTTCCGCTTTCCGGTCTTCATATCTATTGTTTTGGCTGTGGTGGGTGGGCCTGTCAGTATTCGTGGGTGCACAGATGTCGGGGCAGCCGTCTTCGTTGTCACGTTCGTTTTCGTATGCGGACTTGTCGGCTGGCTAGTTGCGAGATATCGGGCTGTTCTCCCAGCTGCCGGATACCATTGCGTGTTGATAGTGTTGACGGCTCTTCCCTTCCTGGCAGTCAGGGTTGCCTACTTTCTGCTTGGCGAGTATGGCTCACAGAAGTTCAGCCCTGTCATGGGAAGCGGAGGCATTATGGTTGGAATGAGCCTGGCCATGGAGATTTTCATTGTCATTATCCTGCTGCTGGCTCGTGCAGTGACAGAACCGTTTTTGCCTGTGAGCTTGGAGAACGAACCGGCGGCCTGAGACAGCGATAGAGCTGAACGGTCACCCAAAGTTGTGCGGGTGTACTGCAGCATAAGCTTTTGAAAGCCTATGCAAACAACCTTCAATCCAAAGTTTCGTTGTAGGATCTGGAACTTCATAGGCTATTCTCAATGCAAAGGCCATTCGATACGGACCTAGGAGGCCCTGGGCGTTGAATTCAACTGATTTGCAGATCTGGTCGCGGAAGAAGACCATCGTAGCCGCGTGCTCACCAGGGGACCCACAGACCCTCAGGATCTCATACAAGATGAGCATATAGGAGTAGTAGCTGCAGAAAAATGTCGCCACATTCTCGTCCGAATACCACAGGACGACTGGGTAGAGATTGTCACCGGACGGCGAAAGAACCTCATACGGAACGGGCGCCGCCTGAGAAAATCGATCATACCATGCAAGCAGCTTGCCTTGCATGGCGAATGTTTGCGCGAGCAGATTGGAAACTCGTGCGGTCGTGCTCTGGCTGGTATGGTCTGCCTCTTTGAGATCGTAGAGTTCATGTATCAGACTTGGCGCATAGGTGAAGTAGGCAAAGAACTGCTCCACCAAACCGTCAACTTCTGCCGAAAAGCCTGTGAACTGCTGCTCCATCACCGAGTGCCATTCTCTCGAGGCTAAGAAGCAGCTTTGACCGGAAAAGAGAGAGTGCATGACCATCATGCCGCGAGATGCTTTGAGCAAAGCTTGATCAAAGGCATTCCGGTAGCAGGGAGGTCCTCGAATCTGCACCAGCTGGCTCAATGCTTGGGCATGTTTCATCCAGGCATCCCCTTCGTGGGTATTGGTAAAGAGCTAGTCGTGTGAGATACGCCTGACCTAAGTAGATTAGGACTCACCTCATACAGGCAGAGTAACAGGACTGCGCAAAACACTTCAGAGGAAAGACACTCCCGGGGTTTTCCCAGAGACACACGCAGCCTGTACAATGCCTGTCCATACGCAGACTTGGCATACTGCACCGCCGCCAGATTCTCGCCCATCCTGCCAATATGATGGGCGGCAAACGATTGGATCGTCAGGTCCAGCGTTCTATTCCGCCCGTAGACGGCGGGAAGAAACCTGAACCAGCGCGAGATGACATGCGCCGACGTTGCTGGAAACGGTCTGGAGAGCTCGAGCACCAGCGTGTCAAGGCTTTGCATGACATTCAGATTGGCGCAATTCACTGTCAATGCCTGGACCGCCAACGCATCATCGGCGGTACCTCCAGCATCCCGGCAGCTCTTCTCGCTCAAGTTCTTATTAGTCGACTTCACACGACGAGAGCGAAACGGCTTCCCTGCGACAATCTTGAAGCCCCGGTTATAGCCAGGACAGGGGGTCCCATAAGTCTCGCATCTCCGACATCCAGGGACTCTCTCATCACACTGTGACATCAGCATGCATCTCTGCCACATCTCTATCAAGAATATCACACCCACCTTGACTCGACGCTGTACACAGCGCACGCAGCCCTTGCTCCGAGCCACCATCTGGAGCGATGTGCGCCGTCAAGGATGAGGGACGTTGAATACGAAGGCTACGAACCAATGGACGAGCCGGGCGGATTTAGTCAGCGTGGCCAGGATGAATTCTCCAGTGAGGGGCATCGATCGCGTGCCGATAATCATCATATCGTATCATCGCCTCTAGTCGCAGTCTCACAGTGAATTGAGACCATCTCATTGAATCTCTCCGAGCTCCGTCAGGAAGCAAAAATTCCTCCGGATTGATACCGTTCCGAGCAACGCTGAAAACCAACCCCACGTGCCCCTCGCTATCTAATCGATATCGATTTCCCCTCCATGATCTAATATTTACTACTATCGATCGCCAACCATTTATATCTGCATATATCCCCCCTACCCTTAAGACGCCCTCATCCAGCCAAGACAGCCACCACGACCACCATGGAATGGGACCCAACACAATTCTTCCGCGGCGACAGCGACAGTCCCCCCGCGCCATTCGCCCTGCTGATTCTCAACCATCCAATCAACGAGAAAGCCTATGATGTTTTACAAAAACATGGTATCTCCACCTACCCCTACCATACAATACCATTGTAAAAAAAAGGCATAACTAATAACCACAACAGCCATGATAACCGTCTGCGTCGACGGCGGCGCCAACCATTTCTATGAAATGATGAAAGCCAAAGGGAGGGAGAACTCTCATGTATGCATCCTTCCTGTTGCAGGACATACATAATATCACTCCAATCCGCACCCCCCCCCAAAACATAATACCACAAACTAATAAGAGAGATTAAGCACCCAAACATCATAATCGGCGACCTCGACTCCATCCGCCCCGCCGTCCGAACGCACTACGAATCCCACGGCGTAAACGTCATCTATCATCACGATGAATACTGCACGGATTTTACCAAAGCGTTACGGTATATCCGCGCTCATGTGGATGAGATCTTACCGTCCACCAGTACCACCACCACCACCACCACAACCGCTATCACTAACGAGACCCAACACCCCCCCAAGAACGACAACGAAAAGGGCAACGACCTCACGATCCTCATCCTAGGCGGTCTAGGCGGCCGCGTCGACCAGGCCTTTTCGCAAATTCATCATTTGTATTCTCATTCCACCGACACCACCCCCGAATCAACCCAAACCCGAAACAAAACAGGCCATCTATACCTCATCTCGGAAGAAAGTATAACCTTTATCCTCCATCCAGGGAGAAATATCATCCGTACGCCGCGAGCGAGATGTATTCCTTCCCCGTCTACACCAACACCAACACCAACACCTACTACCTCTAAAAATACCAAACAAACAGCAGAGGAAAAGGAAAAAGAAGAGGAGGAGGAGGAGGAGGAGGGGACCTACCTCCTCGAAGAAAACGTGGGCATGATCCCCCTCCACGGAATCGAACGCATCACGACAAAGGGATTCCAATGGGACGTGGAGGAGTGGGAGACGGTGATGGGGGGGCAACTGAGTACGAGTAATCATATTCGGGCGGAGGAGGTGGAGGTGAGATGTGGGGGGGCATTGTTGATGACGTTGGAGTTGGCGGGGAGGTTTAAGAGGGTTATTTGATTCTTCGTTTATATATTTACTATTCTATTGGGGAAGGGTTAGTGGGGGGAAGGTTAAAAAGTGAGGTATAGATATAGATATGTTATGTTAATTGGCATCATCATTCCTACCATACTAAACTAGATAGTTAAAATAAAGAAGTCAACTCACCAGCGCCATTCATCTGAAGCAATAATCACACGTAGTAGCTAATATCTCCAATCCCGCTAGACGCCTGTCGACCCGAAACCAAAGACAAGGTACCAAGCACCAGAACCATCCTATCCAGAGTTGCCTCCTCTCTAGATCATCCTGTACTGTGTCCTTTCACTGACCTAATGAAGGAAACAAACCTCCACTCAAACGACAATGCTGCTGCTGCTGCTGCTCACTTCCGCAGAATAGCCTCGTAGAGAGTCCCAATCACTCCAATCGCGCAGCCTGCCACTGCACCATACACCCCTCCCGCGAGGGATGCCTCCAGCCGTTCAATGGTCAACCCCTCGTAAAGTCCCCAGAAAGAGAACTGTTCCACGTAAACGATATATGCGATCACGGCCTTGGCAATGTAAAAGCTGAGAGGATCGAAGCTGGTGTGCGCAAAAGGACTGCGACGCGAATGGCTGCCTGGCTGCGCCGCCTGCAGACTGATGTTGAAAAAGTACGCGGTGGTCAGGGGCAGCACCACACTGGTCAGCAGCCACAAGGTCACCGTCGCCCAGAAATAGCCTTCAACCAACACGAACAGATCGGGAATCCAGACCTGGTAGTCAGCCATCTGCAGCGACGGGGGAATCTTCAGCGTGGTCACATAATACCAAGGGACCACCGTCTGGAAGAGGCCAATGGACTCCAGTGCCAAAAGTAAGGCCCCGAACGCCTTGACGCTGCTAAGGTTGGAGCGGAGCGAATCGGTCCGCTCTTGGACTCCGGTCCCGGACCACGTCTCGCTAAGAAACTTGCCCCACGCGGCTGTTTGGCGATCAATCGCATCGGTGACGACAGCCGGGGAAGGCGGTAGCTCTTGCACCAGCGACGCGATCGCTGGCGGTTGGATGCTCACCAAGGTCTGCCCGGGGGTCTGGGGCAGTTCGGATTCCTCCCTGCAGGCGCATGTCAGCAAAGGCGATACAGGCACGATCAAAGGGGGAATCATACGATGGCGTGCGCTCCTCCAACTTGGCCTTGGTCGTCCTCCGGCGCACGGATCTGGGCGCTTCAGAAGGCGACGGTGATGCCTCCACCTTGGGGACTTTCTTGGTCGGTGAGTATTTGCGCGGGGACTGCAGCAGACGCTTGTAGTAGTCTGCCAGTCGCGTATCGTTTTCAAAGATGGATTGATTACTTTGGAGATGCTGGTCTAGGGCGGCCGCGAGGTCGGGTTTGGTGTAGTCGCCATAGCTATCAGTTGTTAGGGACAGTACGCGCAGTCCATGACTTGCAGAGAATCTTACTCCTGAAGGTCGGTGATATCAGCCCATTCCGCCAGCTGGGGCTTGCGCAGTTTCTGAAGATACGATAGACCGTTTGACATGATGACGATGGTGATGCGCGCGGCTACGGATCCACGTAGACCATGCGACAACTGAACAGGCTGGGGGGATAAGAATAAAGGAGGATGAAGAGATCAGGCGAGATAAACAAGAAGGACAACAGAGTTGTATGGAGCAGAACAGCGAGTCGCGAGGCTACCGGTGGAGGCCGTTGAGGTCACGGCGGAGGGGGCCAATCCAGGCGGCGGAGGGGCTGACCGCATCCGGCTTTGTTTACCATAACATCACCGCCCGCCGCTTGGGTTCTTTGTCGCCCCCGGCTAGGCTGATTCGGGTTAGTGTCCGTTCCCCGCGGGAAATCATCTCCAAAGAATTGCATTATCAGACCACTACCTAAGATTACGTTTCTTCAAGCCCTTCGAGTGCTGTCCCGGGTGCGATGCGGTTACCTTCCTCATAATATAATATAAGCAAAATAACTAGATTTAGTTCTTGACTCTAATAGTGAATGGCCCCATCTTTAGAAGCCACATAATAAACATGGAGGTACTGTAGGGATTGTCGCGAGATCAGAGAATGTGATTGAGGAAATGAGGTGCAGATGCTCTTCAGAAGTCTGAAGGCTCTAGGTGTTGAAGTCAATGCTATGTCAAACTGTCCCTTTTCACCCGCTAGCGCACTCTGTACAGCGTGAATCGAAATGATGATACCGCATTCCAAACTTCTTGGCGTAGCAGAGAGGGACGATGGCACTCCCGTCGTGGGTCATCCTCTATATTCTCACATCTGATCAAAGGCTGACCAACATGATGTAACGGCACAATGGCATATACAGTGCTTAATACAACGAACACCCGACGGAAAATTGGAAGCTGGGATAGACCAGATCAAGACTTCTCAAATCCACCGTCCTATGACTCGGCCGGAGCCTTCTGCTTGTAACGGGATTTGGAGTTCCGTCTTCGCGCAGATGTCTTTTCTACTCGCTTTCTTTCCTGATCAGAAAATATGGTGGAGAGCATGCCCTTGGTATCAGTTTGGTCTTTGTGGGATTGATGGAACTCCGTTCCTTCGATGCTGGCGTATTTGATACTAGGGTCCTGAAATTATTAGTGTGGCATTCGGTTGTAGATGCAGAGACCTATTTATGTCTCATGGTCCTTATAGTAGGTATCAACGAGGGTTGTATGGGTGTGGGTCTAAAGCTGCTCAGCAAGCACGTCCCTTGTAGGAGATATAACGGCGGACTGTAAACATGCTGGCATGGGATCGAAAATTGGGGTAGACCATGATTAGGGATGACAGGTAGATCTGGGAAGAACAAGAGTCCGACACGAGACAGCGCGCGACATGATCGTGTTTGAATAGCCTACTTTCACTGTTAGCACCATCCTTTGCCCTTGGAGATAGGAAGATGTCCTGTCGAAAATGTCTGAGTCTTGGAAAGATCCCCTTGGCGCCTATTTCCAGAGAAAGTAGCTGGCGGCTAGGACAAGAACGGATGGTCAAGCAGCTGTTTGGCTGTCTTGCGTTCCTCCCACTCCGCAATCCCACCTCCTTCTTCTCCTCCACAACTCAAACATCATCCACATAACCCCCAATCACCTCCCCAACATCCATCCCCAAACCCCAAGCCCCCACTCTCCAACAAAACCGCCCAACCCTCTACCGAATCCCCACCCGCGTGCTCAACCCCCAGCGCATAAATAAACCCCCACTACCTCGTTCTCCTCATCACCAGCACCTTCACGAGCTGCAGCAAGGAACACCCTCGGCATCAAACATCCAGCGCGATCCTCGCCAAGCAGTATATGCTTCTCCAACGTCCTTAAGCCCATGGAACAGCCAGCTGAATCCGATTTCCCGTCCTCCACAGTGTGGCTATAATTTCCCCATCATTAGAGGCAATAACACTATTTAAACTCAGCTATAGAGAAGACAGATACCCAGAACAACAAAGAACCCCGAATGGCAGTGCATAAAGCCATACCCCATCCTTTTTTATAATAGAATAAACTCCACCAGACTCAAGCTCCGCACCCCGCAATTCCGGGTACGCGGAGGGGATCATTTCTGAGTAGATTCCGCAGGCCGCAGCAGTGCAGAACCGATATGGTATTCTGCTGATCTTCCCAGTTTACAGAATGCCAATGTGGGGCTTCAGTTCAATTCAGATGGGTCCGGAGGGACAGAATGTTCTTTTTGATCGAAGTCTCTAGTCAAAGACTCAAGGTACATTGGGTGGACTGTATAGTCCAAAGGGATAGAATACGTATCAGTAGTAGGGATTGAACCTGGTGAGGGTGAGTGCCAGTATCCTCTTCATGGGTGTGCATACAAAGGAGATTTTTGAGACAAGGCTTTGGCTCTGGGTTTCCTGCGAGCCCGCATGACGGTGGGATTGGTTGGAATTGGTCGTCAATGTGCTACCCCATGCCTTGGAGGAAGAGAGAGATGTTGGTTGAATTTGAGCTTGAGCTCCTCTCATCTAGTTACCCCGGAAGTACTACTTAGTCAATACGGAACACCGGATGGGAAAGCGGACCGAGGAACTAAACTGGACAGATGCACCGCAAAGGTGATTGGATGAGATGGGGAGTATACAATCACTACGAGATTCTTTATGCATTGCTACATGTATGTCGAGTCAACGTTCTGGACAGCTCAGTGAACGAAGCAACCAGACAGACCTGAATATAGAAAAAAAAAATACCAAAGGGATAGTATAATACATTGCATTATGTAGCCTTCTAAGTCTATCAATATAACCGTACATGATAATAATTTAAACCACTTCGTATACACAACATGGCAACCCGATCATGCAATTGTTATCAACACGCCGAAAGGTTAGGAGGGGAATGGGAATCCAATAATTAGAAACAACACACGAGGAAAAAGGAAAAGAAAAGGAAAATCATGCCACACACCCCTCGGGTTGCCCCCTTCCAACATAGCCGTCTATAATGCTCATACTCCGGTTGTGGTGCGGTTTCTTTTTATCTACAACGGACAAATGTCTATGTCCCTGACATCCCTTCGGATGCCATATGGTCGGGATTGCAATCGCAGAGGCTGGCTCACAGAGGACTCAGGTTTTCTGCCCCTTGGTAGGCTTCGAGTTTCTTCAGGAGGTACTGGTACATGACCAGCATCGTTCCGCTCTGGATACTAGTCCACACGCCACGGGGGCCGACGCCACGGAACCACCCGGCGATACCCTCGGTCTGGTAGATCATCCTCAGGCCAGTGATGAACGATGAGGTGTCCAGACGGGGAGCGCCCGGTGGCGCAACTGATGTCGAAGCACCGGACGTGGAGATGGGCCGCGAATGTGTGCGCAGGTTGGACGTCGTATGCGACGACGTATGCTGCCGAGGGCTCTCTTTCGTCGACGCGGGCTCGCCAGTTGACTTGGGTGCATGCGTCGAGGCCGGGCTCTCCGGGTTCTGTTGGGTCTGGATGCGGGTCTTGACAACGTCCATCGGGCAAGTGATGACACCGGCCATTCCACCAGCCGTAACCGCAGTCAAGATCTCCAGGCCCAGTCCGATGTCCCGAGATCCCACCCACTCCTTCGCCAGCCGATGTTCTTGTTCGTAGAAGGCGAACTGCAGCGCCGAGAAGGGAAGGTCACGGTAGATGGTAGCCCGGTATCCGTAGAAGAGTGCGCGGAATCCCTCCTGCCGGACGATCGTGCGTAGCGCATCCGTGGTCGAGCGGTAGTTATATCCCGAGTTGAAATGAGGGTTGTTGTAGCGTCCCTGAAGCTGCAGTCGCGTCTTCAGGACCTCGGAAGGGACGTATACAACGGAGGCAGCCAAGTCGGCGAAGAAACCTAACGCAGTTCGTTAGCATCGCACACCACTACTTCGGGCAGAAAGACACCCACCTCCGGACAGATACGCCACGTTGGCGTTAATACCCGCATCCAGCATTTTGCGCTTGGTGAATTCATAGACACCGAAGAAGATGACGGTTCCCGGGAAGGAACCGAACAGCGCTGGAGTCACTCCGCCATACAGACCACGGAACAATCCCTCCTGTCGGTAGATGGTCGCATAAGACGAGGTCATGGAGGTATATTTGGGAGGAAAATGCGGATCGCCTTGCTGTCGGGTCTTGACCGTATCTAACGAATGCATGAGCATGTCACCGCAAGTACCACCGGTACCTCCAGCAAGCATTGCCTATATCCACGCCATTAGTTAGACCGTGGGCACAGTGAAGTATCCAACTCCAAGTCACGACCAAGCTACAACATTGCAAGAGGTACATACGTGTAGATACGGAGGACGAGGCTCCTCCTCGTCCACAAGGGACGCCGAGTTCTGCGCATGGTCGCTGGTTGCGCTTATCGGACCGGCGGCGTGGTAGACATGGTTGCTGGTCGCCACGGTGGATAGCGGAGCGGGTGCCGCAGGGGAATCGGAAGAAGGTGTCTCTGTCGTCGTAAACAGGCCCAGGACACGCGAGGTCAAGCTCATTGCAAGAATACCGCAACCCACCGGATCGTGGTGCGGGCCAGACCACGGGGGTTGGGATGCGGCGACTTTGGATTAACGGAAGGACGCCACCCCGAAGAGGAATGGGATGACGGAAGAGAAGAGGATCGGAGAGAGGGGAAAGGAAGGAATCCGGGGTCAATCAAGAGCCAACAACGGTTGGAGGGGGAGTCGTGAGCATCGCACCTCTCGATGATAAAAGATACTTCGGGCATAGCCAACGCCCGGGAGCCCAAAATTTCGGTCGGTTTCCTGTTTTCTCCGCCGTCCGAGTTAGAATGGCGGCCTCAGGCAGGTCAGCCCTTGGATCTTCGTGCGGCCCTCAGCCTATCGATGCGCTGCTGAGCCACGCCCAGGCTGTAACTGGATCGGATGTCTGATCGGACCCGCCGACCACCGACTGCGCCAACCCCGATCCTGGCCGAGCTACAGGCCAGCCCGGGCCCCGATCAAAGGTTAAATACAGCCACTACATAGTACGGACTTCGGTGGAGCGCTTTACAGGCTGCTGTCGCATTGAGCATATATAAGCAATAAGACGTATTCAAGGACAAGAAAGCTGCTGAGACATTCCACATAAACTCCCTCACTTCCTCCCAGAACAATTAAGGTACCATCCCTGAGGCTACTCCAGTCTTGTCTCCACTCTCCTCCGCTATTCACAATTTTCATTGTTCGTAAGATGGCCGCCTTTCTCACCAAAAGATGATACCGTAGGCCGTGGCATTCATTAATTGCTCGGCATCCAGAAACAAACGGCTCCCACCAAGTTATCTTTGCGACGTAGGTCGCGGGGTGATTCAACCAAGTCCGTTGTATATCCTGGAGCCACCGGGAGCCGTACTGACGGCCCTTTATTGGGGCTTCTTAGCACCAGCTCCGGCGCTCAACCGGTTAAGATCCGTAGCCTCGTAGGCCTGGCCCACGAACCCCTTGAAAGACTCCCAGCCCTGGCGCACGGCCGGAGGAGTGCTCTGGTGAGACACCGAAGCATCGACTCTTGCAGTGAAATGGCGGACAGCCTGCTGGACAAAAGAGCTCTGGGCGTATCTCGCGCGGAAGAAGGCCAGGTAGAAGAAGAAAAGGACAAAGCTACCCTTGGAGAAGGTGAGAATCGCCAAGGCCAGGCGGAAGAGGAGCAACATCTCCAGCTGGGCGACCAGGTGCATGCTGGTGTCATAGTACTGCTTGACAAACCGTCCAATGGTATCGGCCAGGGGGGACGACCTAGGGGCGGGCTTAGGAGCGCTAGAGGTGGGCGAGCCGGGAGCAGCAGCACCCTGGGCGGGGCCCTGGATGGTGGGAATCAAGTGGGCACGGGTATAAGTCGCAACGTGGAAGACGGAGTAGACGCTGAAAGGGAGCAGGGCCAACGCGACCTGGCGCGAGTAGAGCCAAACCAATGCCATGCCTAACATTCGCATCAGCTACAGGTACTTCACCGTTTACTTAATACCCCGTCATCACTTACCGAGGTATTGAACATTCTCATCGCCAGCCAGCTTCAACACAATATTAGGGATGCTGCCCTGGAGACGACCGCGGGCAATGTGTCCTTTGTACACCACAATGCCGTATGTCGCGGCAGCGGACACGAACGCAAGGCGGTAGGCCGCCTGCGCCGAGGAAGAATAGTAGTTGAAGGTGATGTATGACAGAACATAACGGAGGACGGAAAGGAGCAACGTCACATGCCTGTGATCCGTTAGCGACTAGGTCTGGTCGGACGGTTCAAAAGCGAGAGCTGCTGGGGATGGTGCAGTAGAAAAGCAGGCGGACAAGAGCCAAGACCGCAATTGCCCAGGTGGTATCATGAAAGGCAGTCGAAAGGGACAGCGTGACGTCTCGCAGGAGCGGAACCTACCCAGCAAACCAAGCAAATCTGAGCAGAAAGCAGGCGATGTTAGCACATTCCGTCGAGTGGTTCCGAAACACGCGACACATACTGCAATGTTTGAGCCAGAGCCTTCAGCCTGTCAGGCAGAGGCAGGTTCGAGGGAGGTGGAGGAGCCATAAGGACCGATTGAAGTTGGACGGTAAGGGTCTCGGGATGTCGTGAGAATAAGGATGAAGGTAGGAGAGGCCGGGATCACAGGGTGGAGAGGAACTGCTGCAACGGAGCGGCCAACAGCAGAAGGAAGGGAAGGGGAAAGGGAGAAGAAGGAACGAAGAAAGAATCGGGGAAACTAATTGAGCGGTGGACGGCGACGGATATCCACTTGGGGGGAGGCTGGGCGGGGACGAGGGTGGGTTCCCACGATGGTTCTGGTTGAGTTGGTGGTGGTGGTGGTGGTACTTGGGAGCGTGCCGAGCTGAACGACTACGGTGGTTCCTAAGCCAGCTGAGGAAGCTACTGTAGTCTTCTTACTGCTTCGACAGTTTCCGGTGTACTCGCCAGGCCGAAGGCTCTCCTCCCGTCAGCCGCACTCCGCCCCCGTGACGTCGCCGCCCGCAATGATGCAACACCACCGGCTGTTCCAAAGCTTATCTACCAACCTATCTTCGTTGATTCGGTCATCGTTTGATCGCTGTTCCTAGAGTTGACATGGGTCTACTGTGTAGGACTTTGCTAATCCCTACGCCATACCTCCTACATACTATGTATAAGGCTGTACGCAATCAGACTTCGGTTACTTTTCTCTTGTTCGTCTCGCTTCGCTCTTCAATAACACTTAGAATTGACAACTAGCACACAGAAACTGCAGAACAAGGGAAAACGTCCAGAAAAAAATGATTGTCAGCGGTGGGTGATCTCACTAAAATGTGTAAAAGAGGCAAAAGTGTACCGAAGATAAAATAAAAAGTAGGAGTACCAGGCCACAACGGGGAATAGGAAATCGGCGGGAACAAGGTATAGCGTAGGCAAAAGTACATAACAAGAAGCGAAAGTGGACATGAAGCAGTGAATTCAGAACCCAAAGCGGTCTTCTAGGCCGTCACCCCGTGCGTCATCTTGCGAGTCCAGGACCAGACCACTTAGTTGAGCATCCAAGCAGATCACCGAGCCGGATGTAGCTCTTGTGTTCCTGCACATCTCCTAGTCAAGCCCCAACTGGTGATTAATTCGGCTGAGAAAGAGAAAAGAAATCGAGGCTTTCGTTTTCTGCGGTCCATCCGGTGAAAAAGGGTAAGAATAGAGTCATTACTGGAAGCAGATACGAGAAAGTAGAGGTTCAGGGAGCGTGGGGGAGAGAACAAATAAACACAAGAGAAAAAAGGCGGCGGGTTAGAAAGAGCGTGCGGCCAATCGGGAGTCGTGGAGAAATCAACATAAAACCACCAGAGTGCCTCCGACGACTATACATAACCTCGGTGGTCTGTTGTATAAGCCCCTGGGCAAAGGCATCGGGGTGCCGGTCATGTGAGCGTTCGTCTAACGAAGAGAAAATCCCTTCCGCTTCCCCTTTTCTTCGATCGGTCTCCCGGTCTCGAGGCGGGTCTTCTTCTCTTCTAGCTCCAGGCGTTGCCGTTCCAGTTGGTCCTTCATCTCGCGATGTCGGGCATAGAGTTCGTCTTCGCTCTGTTTCAGCTTGCTCTCCTTCTCTGCAACCTTCTGCTGGAAGACCATCTTCATCTCCGCCTCCATCTTGGCGAGCTTCTGCTCGTGGAGAGCACGCTCCTCCTCCTGCTTGACCGCCGGGTTGACCTCCTTGAACACGCTGGGGTCCTGGGCCACACCCATCTGGGTAAGCTTGTCGGAGCGGTAGTTCTCGTACAGAGTGTTGTTGGTGTGTTCCTTGAGCTCTTCCATGTGGGTGCGGATCAACATCTGGCGCAGCTTAACGAAGTCGCAGTGTTCCTCATTGTCGACCTCGATGATACCCCAGGGGTAGCTTCTGCCGCGCACTTTACGGCCGTCAGCGGCCGTAACCTCGGCGTTGGCACCAACAATAGCGAAGGGGACCTTGGACATGATCTCCTGGTTCTCTGCAATAGTTTCTTCATCGTCAAGCTCGTAGCGGGGGCCTTCGAAGATCTGGATAGAGTGGTGCTGGATATCGGCAAGAATCTGGGAACGGGTTGTGTCAGCATTCAGTAGCGGAGAGGCGCAGTAGTTTAATCATACCCTCTGCTTGAAAGCAGTGATCTCCTCGTCCGTCAAGGTGTCAGCCTTAGCGATCACAGGGATCAGGTTGACCTTGGTGTGCAACCTGCGCATAACCTCAATGTCGAGAGGCTTCAGGGAGTGGCCGGTAGGCTGGATGAAGTAGACACAAGCGTGGATGCGGTTGTCGAGGATATTGGTTCTGTCGACCTTGTTCTCAGCCTCCAGGTAGGCATCGTATCTCTGTTCAATGTTCTCCACAATCGGGCGCCATGAATCGTCATTGTTGACAAAGTCACCGAATCCGGGTGTGTCAACCACGGTCAGACGGAGACGGACACCATTCTCTTCAATGTCGGAGCTGATGGACTGAATCGACACGGTCTTAGGGATAATGTCGTGGCTAGGGCCGGTGCGTTCCTTGGGGGGGTAGAGGGAGGCGTTGAAGAGTGTGTTCACGAGAGTCGACTTTCCGAGACCAGACTCACCTAGCGGGTGTATCAGTCACAGTCCGCGGTGGACAGATCTCCAGCGGGCTAGAAACTTACCAACAACCATCACGTTGAATTTGAAACCCTTGCGGACACTCTTACGGTGCCATTGGTTGGGCAGGTTGGCAAAACCAACGTAGCCGGTCAGCTTCCGGCGAACGACATTCTTCATATCCGTAGCAGCCTGAGCAACAGCCTTGGGGTCCTTCGAGCTCACAGTCTGAGCGTTTCCCGCTCCCATTGGGTTACTGCGTTCAACGAAGGGCGAGCTGGGCTTGCTGCTGGGAGGAGAGGCAGAGACGGGCGTGCCATTGGCAGCAGGTGCAGGCGGTGGTGTAGCTACATTGTCCGAAGCAGAGTCAGCAGCTGATTCAGAATCTTGTCTTTCACTTTCGGAGGACAGGCGATCGAGGACGGGCGAGTACGAGTGACGCTTGAGTCTCTGCGAGCCCATTTGAGGGGACAGTGCCAGAGCTTCAGAGTCCCCTTGAGAGCGACCATCCGCACTCCGGTTCCTGGACCGTGCCATGGTTGTATCACAACGCGCAAGGATCCCGTATCGGAGACGATAGGAAGATTTGGATGGCAGGTAGAAAAGGGGGCCCGGATCGCAGGTTGATGAAAGGAAGGGCTCAGGGCGACAAGCTTACCCATTGTGGAAGTAGAGGGTGTGCAGGTGATATGAAAAGCGAGCGTCGAGGAGGCAGGAGGTAGCGAGCGTCGATGAGGAAGTTCCCCTGAACAGGCAGTACCTTCTTCGTTAGCGACACAGTCCTTGCAGGAAGCAGTCAAGGGGAGGGAGGGTCTGGAAGCAGCAACGTGGACAGCGATATCACTTCTCCGTCGGGCCCGTGGGATGCAGCAAAGGGAGGTCTCCAGGAAGGTGTGGCCTCGTACCTGTGATACTACTGTTCGCCGGTAAAAGGGTGAGGTTCAGTCAATCACGAGCAAAGGGGATGGATGGCTGGAACCAAAGGAGGATCTCGGGCACAGCTAAAAAGCAGCGTGTGCACAAAAGTCGGGGGGTTGAAACGAAACAGGTAAAAAAAACAATTGTCGGGGCAAAGGAATAAAAGGGCGATTGAAAGAGAGAAGAGAAGACGTACGTACTGAGGAACAGGGGAAGAGGAGAGCGATTGGGACCTGCGGAGTGATGGGGGTGTTTAGTCGTTGGAGCCAGACTGTTTGGTGGCCCTGTCCGAGAAAGAAAGGGGGGGCTAATCCTTAGTCTTGCTGTCGCCCACTTCACTACGGAGTACTCTACACCACTTTTCTTTCTTTCTATCAAATGAATTGGCTGGTTCTTGCGATCCCCATCTGGCGCCTTCGATTTCCGAATTGCAATGGCCCAAAAGTCATGATTTATTTCATCCCGATTGATGCTCAAGTACCTCCGTAGATAATAATAAATTACCCTTGGTATTTAACGCGCACCAGTATCTCTCTCGATCCAGCCTATCTACTACCAGGACCATCCACCAGACATGTCAAAATAAAAAGCAACGAGCATCTCCAAGCAAACTCAAAGTCCCTCGAGATCTGTGGACACCATCACCGCAGGCTTAATAAGTAAGGTGAAGGCCCCCAAACTCAGGATGCCGAAATCGTGGGGAACCCTGGAACCATTATCTAAGTTGCGCATCCCGAAATTCCACTTTAGGGCGATGAGATTGGAGCTGTACACTTGAGCCCGAGAAGGAGTGGGCAAAAGTGAACTCCTGACCCGTGTGCGCGCTGCACTGTGCTGGATCTACCGGTCCTTGGGTCGAGGACAACCACCACTCTCAAGTTTGCTTTCCAAGACAGATCCGCTGCGGTGGGCTATTCTTAGCCTCGCCAGTCAGTCAGGTGTATCCGGTGCGAATCATCTGGGCCTGCAACCATCATCCGATGGACCATTTATACGCAAGCCCACCCGCCTAAGTGCCTCCCGACATACAGAGTACATCCATCGGGCTTACTCCAGCTGGACCCGGCAGATACCTTGTTTCAGACGGGATGCGCTTGCTCGCACCGCACGGGGCCCCTCCCTCTTGAGTCCTTGGGGGAGGAGAAGCATCTAGCCAGCTAGACTGGATTCGACCGCGTAACGGGCGGGCCGAGCATCAGTCAGGGGGGGGGGGAAGAGCAAGAAAAGGGTAAAAAGGCAAAGGAAAAGGTCACCGTGGAACGGAAAAACCCGGTGAGCCGTCCGTGACGGAGCCAACTAAGGCCTAACGGGCAGCCAGCCAATGGTGGCCGTCCACCAACGGTTTGGAGCAAAGCAGTCACACCATCCAGGGTACTACGGGGGAGGATCTGAATTTCCCAAGGAACAATAAATCAACCTCAAATTTAGGTCCCGGATTAGGGGGGGCTTTGACGGAGGTTGTCCATGACCGCCAAATCAATAGAGTACGGTCGTAGTTGGATTAAATACTACTTCCTTCTCTGGGATGTCTTCAAATACCTCCTGAGGAAGAATTCATGTCCCCCGGCTATAAATAAAATACTGACTAGTATGCATCTGCGATAACGATGCATGGAACAGGGCGGCATTATTACACAGCAAGGGAGAGACCGTCGGAGTAATGCTACACCATCCAAACAAAGAGCTCTCTTCCGGTTGATTTCCCGACCTGCTGCCCGCCGTTCATCCCCTACACCGCACTTCATTATCCGAGGCCAGCGCCCTATCGCAAGCCCCCAATGCAAGACAGGTTGGCCTCGCTGGACGGGACCATGGCAAATCGGCCAAATCCATGCTGCACTCACATACGTAGTGCAGGAAGTCTTACCTCGCGCACTGCCAGAGAGGTCTAGTGCCGTATGATCTGTCCTGGAGGAACAATTTATTGATGTCTGGGATACGAAGGCGGCAGTCGAGGAGAGACCGTCAACGCCAAAGATTGCTATAGGCAATTAACCTTCCATGATCTACAATAATCTGGGGTCACGAACACGGATCAGCCTCCGAGAAGAGCTAGAATGACATATATGCACATGCAGGAGCTTCTCAATAGTCTTGTCAATAGCAAAATTAATTGAGTTGGCCCCCATCGACCAGCCCTGACAGATCATATTGCCGCGATGTCGGACTGACAAACGGACTAGCTATATGCTACATTTACGGATGTGAACCAATTTGATGCCGTTGGCCAACGCTCTGTGAAACGAATCATGCCGATATGCAGTGTTCCAGAGTACAATTACAAGGGCTTCAAGAATCCAAGAAGTCTAACTTCCCGCTGGCTAGGGCAAACATCCCAGCTTAGCCGCTTGGCTTCAGCGGAGGACATGATACGGAACGTCATGTTGGCCGGTTCATTATGCGATAATCATCATTGCAATCGGCGCGGTCGGAATCGAGCGGCGTTCCTTATTTTCCAACCTTCGTCTTCTTTTTCGGCCGCTGTCCTTCCGCCTCGGACATCGGCTCGTCCTCGTCATCGTCACCGCCATCGGATGCATCCTCCATCTCGGCATCGCTTCCGCTGCCACTGCTTTCGTGCGCTGAGTCGTACTCTTCTGCAACATCCGAGTCAGACTCGGCCTGGAAATCCTCGTCAATAGACTCTTCGTCTTCATCAGCCGAGCCGCGATCGGCCCGTACGTTATCATCATCACTGGAGGCCATATCGTCGTTGTCAAGGGCAGCCGCGATGAGAGCCGAGGCCTAGTACATCATGTCAGTCATAGCGTATATAGATGAGGTATTGGCAGAGTTCCACATACATCGTCGGACATTTCGTTCTTGAATCGGATGTTCTTGGCCTTGAAGAATTCCTCAAGTGGTTGTTGTTCCTCACTGAAAGATGTCAGCGTCTGCATATCTCAGCCGAAAAATACACATACCGGTTGATGTTGCTGAACTGGTGCTCGCCCATACCAGCCTTCAAGCTGACGGTGATATCAAACGTTCTGCTCGCCGAGATGGCACCACCCACACGGGACATGGTAATGATAGCAATGTTCTCAATTTGAATGTAAGTGGCAGGCTTGGGAACGAAAATCAAGCTCTTATCCAAGAAGTAAAGGAGACCCTCGTTGGCCTTGATGGAGCATTTGACTCCGCTGTGACCGTGATGGCTGAGCAATGTCAGCAACCTGAGATTTAATATCGATGATCCATGTCACTAACCTAACAAAGTCCTTGGATGGCATGATGACCTTCTTGCCTGACAGGCCACGGAAGATCTTTGTGACAACCTGGTGGATGGGTTCTTCGTAGCGAGGTTCCAGCTTATCCTTGTAGCGGTTCTCCAAGAGTTCACTAAGAGAGCGTCAGACAGAAACCACAAACTCGTCCTTGCGCACTCACTCTGTCATATTAAGCTCCAAGCTGATTTCCTCATCCAACTTCAGCTGCATAACCAAGAACGGATAGCGAGTCTGGCCTTGTCGTAGCGGGGGGTCAAGTCCCAGGACGATCAAAGTATGCGTGTCATCGTTCTTCGGAAGCAGGAAGAATTTCTTGATAGACGCGTATTGAATCTTGTAATCATAGGTTTTACCGCGTAACCGGAAGGATGATTCGTACATGTCGATATCGAATCGGCCTCTGCGAGAGATGTCAACATACTAAAGTGATACCACTTGGATGATACGCACCTGGGTGTAAGGTGAAGGACATCCAAGAACGTAGCGAAAGTGTCGCCAGCCACATCTCCAATCTCTGCCTTGTCCATGAGCGTCTCATAGAACAAGTTCGCCGCATTCTGCTCTTCGCCACCCTCTTCTTCCTCGCCCTCATTTTCACCGTTCTCTTCGTCCTCATTCTCCTGCTTAACGCCCTTCTCTGTCTTCACGGCTGTTCCTGGAATGTAGAACCGCATCTCAACTAGTTCATCCGGGCCAGAAGCGGCTTTGCGACCACGGTTCTTCGTGCTACCAGCTGACTTTGCAGGCTCGTTGCCCTCGCCGCCAAGTGCAAACTCGACGGCGACTTCGTTCTTTCCGGCAAGGTTCGTGTTCGATATCTCGGAGTAAGGAATTTCGAAAGCAGGTCGGTTTTGCACGTTGAAGGACAGTTCCGCTTTCGCAAACTCGGCCTTACCCCAGTTCCATCCTCGGAGGGCGTGTTCCCTGGTTTCCATGTTGATGCCGTACCAGATCTTGAACGCTTTGCTCAACCGCTCGAAATCCTAAAGTTGAAGGGTCAAAGATTAGAGAGGCTCTTCTCTCACGATAAGATCACCCAATGACAAGTTGCCAGGACATACCTCTTGATCGAAGCCATCGAGTTGGATGACGCCCGATGAGCGCGACAGGATCTTCAGTTCATATCCCTTTGCTGCTCGACTCCATTGGGCCGCGCCAATGTTGCTGCTGTCGAGAGTGAACGTTTCGCCTCCGCCGGAAGGCTTCCATCCTAAGCCAGATTCCGCCAGCTTGCATTTTCCATGCTGCTTTGAAAGGTCGAGGTAGATGTTATCGAAGCTCTCCCTAAACAGGGTTTAGTACGGTAGACAGCGACAGTAAGTGAAGAAGCTCACATCTTGGAGGAGCCCTCAGGGGAGTCTCAATAAGTGAAGAAATAAGAGGAGACGTATTTATAATTTCCGAGGCGGCGACAAAGTCTAGATGGCAGGTTTATGAGTTGGGGTGATTTAGTGAGTTAAAGGTAATTGGAGGCTATCTGATAATGAGCTCCGATATCCTTTTTCCTGGAGTCTCGCGTTGCGCGCGGCTGCCTCTCACGCGGTGCGGCAAGACCTCTTGGCGCCACTTCTGCAGAATCGGATTAGTGTTCGTTTTATGCCTGAGGCAACAACGCAGTTTGGAGTCAACCAGCATTGCTTCTTGTTCACAAATGAGATGTGAATGTTTGTTGCTGGGTGCTCATCTTAGAACAACTTTAAGTGCTACTACTTGGCTTACAGTTTATACGAGTTATGTATGCTTTCACAGTTCTGGGTAGGTTGCATAATGCCCACCACCCAGTCTGATCTATACCATCAACATCTTGCGAATCTCAGAGATGAGGATCATCCAGTCATGTATTTAAGCTTGGTCGATGTGAATAATAACCTCCTTGGAGAGTAGGTTATTGATTGGCTTACTTTCATGCACATTTGGATCTTCATATCAATGCCATCTCGTGGTCCAGCAATATCTATACAGATTTATATATCCCGGCTACTAGCATTTTCACATTCTGCTCACCTTTCAGTACTATAGTGGTTTCACTGCTTCATTGCCAACTTGCTGAAGTCTATTGCTACATAATACAGTTAGAAACAAGCACTACGCAAGGATTATCAGTTGGCACATAAGGTTACTCCAACTAGGCATTCAAACTGGACTCAAAGTCGTAACACATCTACAAACGATCAGGCCAATTCCCAACTCCCCTCGCCCCGAGACCAATTATATTCTCTTCACCAGCAATTCGAAGAGACTGTCCTGTACTGATATCACCATCCAAGCGGAGAAGAAGTGGTATCATCCCAGAACATATGACGTTCATGGTTTTGCATATCTCGTAGTCTCCGAGCATACGGACCACCGATCTATCTGCAGAACCGAACAATACTGTTGGCTTAGCAAAGCCCCGTCGGGCTCATCAAAGCAGTAACGGACAGCTGCCTGGGTTCAATACCAGATCCTACATTATAACCGAAGCAGCTTGTTGGTAATCTGCCTCGTATCAAAGCTTATTCGTCAGATCCACCAGGCCCTACCGGAAGATAATAAGACGGGTCCCTTTGAGAAGACTTTGCTCGTGCCTTCTCATATCTGAAGCAACAACAGCCTTTGGGACTTCCCGGGTATCCTTATTAAGCTATATGATTTGGTTTCCTAAGATTTATGGCGGAGAGTTGTATACCTACTAATGCGGTCCATATGCTCAGGCTAGTGAGGATAATGACGGCATAACCGAGTCTTGTCGTCTGGATGTCATCCAATTTGGAACCCAAGCTTGCAGCGATCTACTCCTGTTCTAGAACGCATATCTTACATATCCATCGCAAGGTGATATGTCCAATATTTCGTCTGACTTGTCAATATATTGCGGTCACGACATCTCTCTGCAAGCATATATAACTAGAATGTGCCGCCTCCATAGACCGAAGCTGTTCGTCGGTCTGCCACCTAACACATAAAGCTTTTTCTTTTCTTTTCATCTTCTTGCTCGCCCATGATGCATTCAACCAAGTCATAGCTCCAAATAACTTGGTTACTCCGTACAGAGGGAATGACGCGAGAATTCAGGCCGTAGTAAAAGAATGAAAGGAGAATCCACGAAACATGTTCTACGTAGTTGTGACATTTGCAATGCAGCAAGCCTGCTGACCTATGCATTACCACCACCTGGCGCAGCCTTTGATGAGAGCTGAGGTGATGCGTCGAATCACACGGTGAATGCCCAAGGCGGTTGTTCAGTGCCTGAGCGTAGACTATCATCGAGACTGGTAAACATTTGCTGGGTTCAGTACAGAGCCGATCAAAATAAACACGATGTAGCTGCATGTATGGTTATTGTGTAGGGAAACTTAATGTACCTTCGCTGTAGGTATATTGAATTAAACTTCTGTAACATGTTCATGCGACTCAAGGTTGCATGACACACCGCCAGTAAGGACGATTCAATAGGATGAGCTGCACCGATCCTGAGATGACGGCCGCAAATTGAGGACCATCATCCAGTCTCCCGATGCGTCCGTCATGGCTGTCGCTGCGACGGCGTCCAATATTAGGGGTTGGGATAATTGAAGCAGATCGCCTAATAATAGGAAATCCACCGCTGCAAGGTGTCTCATCAGGTAGTCAGTAGTAGGCCTGCATTGGATCAAACCAGCCTCTGCCTCTGTGTACTGTGTAGCACTGTAGAGCATAGCAAGGTTGGTTTGCCCGGTATGATGGGAGGGTATGCAAATCATCGGGAGGTGACCAGTGAGGCCCGTAAATTGAGGCCCCCCACCCCACCGCAAGTGGACACCGAACGGTGGCTCATTATCTCATACGCAACCCGCGGCCCCATCGCGGACGAGTAATGGAGCGTATCACACATCGGACCGACGTAAATCCTGGGCGCCGGTTCGCTTACTTCGCCTGCTGGTGGAACCGGAGCGCGGCCAGATGGGCAATGACCGGGCGGGAAATGATGGTACCTGAAAAACCACCAGCGACCGACGGACCTTGAACAAACAAGCCCCTGCCTGCCATGTCACTCGTTCGCTCCATCCAACTTCATCCAGTCATTCGTTAATTAATTTTCATCTGGCTGTGGCCATTCCTGTAGTATCGGGCTCCTCTGCCTGATCTCACATTCATTCATTCCTTATCTCCTTCGCTCGCTTTTTTTGTTTTTCTGCACTTGTCTATTAATGTTTCTGGCCCGACCACTCCTTTTCTCGTGTTCCTCGTGCTGGTAGCTCAGCCTCCTATTAGAGCACATCGTCTTTCTTTGAACCAATTCATCTATTTTTCTTGACACCTTTCCTCGGGTCCCAGCAACTCGCCATTCCCCCTTCTTTTCTTGAGCATCGCATTTTTCTCGGCCTGTCGTCGCGAACCTAAACAATGAGGGCTCCCTCACTGTTTGGGCCTGCGACGGCTGGCTTGTCAACCGTCCTCCGCCTTGGATCTTTTCTCCAGTTGACCCCCGCTTACGGATTGACCTTCCAATCCGTCTCGCAACCCGAACTAGATCTTTCGCCATTGGGTCAAGTCGCCCTCACGGGAGACTTCGATGCTGTCTCGCTCTATCAGTACACCGAACAGTCGGACACAGCGACCGCGGACAACGATGCGCAATCCATCCTCACCCCTCTCCCAAACGGGATTTTCACGTCACTCTCGACATCCAACGCCCACATCCGTGCCATGTGCCCCTTCACGAAGAAAGATGGGACGTTCTCAGGTATATTCGTGGGAGGCAACTTCACCAGCTTGGGAGGGGTCGAATCAGAGGGCGTCGCATTGTACAATCCGGATTCGAACAAAGTGACGGCCTTGTCCGGTCTTTCGGGCTCGGTTTCAGCTTTACTCTGCGATCAAGAGACGAATAGTGTTTATGTTGGAGGAAACTTCACTTACTATAATATCTCGAACGCGGTGGCCTGGGTCGGGAATGAAGGCTGGTCGAACTTGTCCTTTGGTGGTCTCAATGGGCCCGTCAATTCGATCTTGAAGGACGGCAATGGCCATATCATTTGGGGCGGTTCCTTTGATGGCATCGGGAATTCTACGTCGGTCGACAAGGGCCCGCAGGTGATCAATCTCCAGAATGCTACGATTACTTCCGACGCCGAGTCCTCGATCAGCGGCTACATTAGTCCTCGCAACATTATCTGTCAGACGAGCGGCGACGATGGCTCTGGGAAAACGTGGCTACTCGAGAAGAACTCACCAGGATACTGGCGCGCAGAGATGGGATTCGAGTATACGCCCACCAAGTTCAGGTTGTACAACACTCATTATGAGGGACGAGGCACGAAAACGTTCCTGTTCCGGAGACTTCCAGATGATGGAATCATGAACCTGACTTACACCGATCCTGATTCCGGCAATGCTGCTTACTGCGACCAGTCTTGCCCACTTTCCAATAGCACATCCGAAAAGTATCGTGAGTTCACTTTTGTCAACAGTGTTGGCATGAGCGGATTCCAAATCGAGGTCTTGGATTGGTATGGTAATGGCGGTGGCCTAAACGGGATTGAAGTCTTTGAAAGCAGTTGGTTTACCTTGTCCCTCCTAAATCGGACCTACGCTTACTGACCATGGCAGACATCTATGCATACGCCATGAATGCTTTCAACGAACCTACGTGTGCAGACCTGAGTTATCCATCAAAATCTACGCGCACAGGGTCATGGTCCACGGCAGCATCCGGCCAGAGCTCATCCGAATATTTGACCACGCAGGTGACCGACTCTAACGCGACTAGCGCCTCAGTAGTCTTCGAACCGGATGTCAAGCAAGCAGGCAATTACTCGATCAAGCTGTACACTCCTGGCTGCGATCAGGACGGCACTTGTTCCTCCCGTGGCATCGTCAATGTGACAGTCACTGCCACCAGCGATGCTGATGAATCTGCTCAAACGCTCATCTACCAGACTAACTTGTACGAGAAATACGACACGATCTATACTGGTCATGTGGATGTCAGCGACAGCTCTTTCCGCCCTCGTGTCAAGTTGACTCCGATAACAGGCCAAGGGGACAATGTCACTGTGGTGGCCTCCATGGTTCAGTTCGTGGCGCACTCCTTATCGGGATATTCGAGCGATGACTTGAATGGTCTATACGACTACAATCCGTCGGGTGAAAGCACGAATGTCACAGAATCTGCCATCGACCAAGCAGGGCTGGCACTTGAACACGGCGCTTCCGTCCTCAGTTTGGCCAGTCATGGTAGCACCATCTATGTCGGCGGCAATTTCTCGAGTTCCAATATCGAAAACGTCATGTATCTTGAAGAGGACGGAAATGCGACAGCAATGCCAAAGGGTGGTCTGAACTCTAAAGTGACTAGCATGACGGTTTTGGGCGATTATCTCTACGTCGGCGGAAACTTCACGGATACGTTTGCCGGTGGAAACGACGGTCTCAGCTACGTCGCAGCGTATTCCTTCAATTCGGCGACGTGGTCAGCACTAGGCGCGGGTGTCAATGGCCCTGTCAACAGTGTCCTTGCTCTCTCGCTTAATGTGTCTATGGACCTCAACGAGACAATCGTTGGTGTCAGCGGAGATTTCGATCAATTGCTTCCCTTTGACGACAGTCCGTCGACGAATGTCTCTGGCTTTGCCGTGTGGGTCCCCTCGCGCAACAACTGGCTTCAGAATCTCAACGTCAGCCAGCTGGAGTTTGCCGGCCAATTGTCGGCTTTTGCAGAGGCTGATAATGCAACCATCCTTGCCGGCAGTCTTTCTTCCGGCGGTATTGCTGCTGCCGGCGCTGTAGCTCTCCTCTACGATAATGCCCTGGGCCTGGAGCCTTTGCTGACAGATTTTAACACAAGCGGTCAGACCTTCACAGGCATATTCGATACCAGCTCAGGCAACAACCTTACTATCCTTGGAGGCCAGTTCACTACCAATGCGACTAACGGATCTGCGATCGAGAACCTCGCTATACTTGACGGCAGCACCGGTACCGTCCGTGGATTGGGAGCAGGCATTGACAGTAACTCCACCTTCTTGGCATTGGCAATTTCGGACAAGATCCTCTATGCCGGTGGGAATGTTACTGGAAGTGTAAGCGGTTCGACTCTGAATGGACTTGTTGCGTACAGCATGGACAACAACACTTTTTCCGAGCACCAGCCACCCCGATTCATTGGCGAGGATGTGACGGTTAACGCTATTGCTCCCCGCCCTAGCTCGAACGACATCTACATTGGGGGGCGCTTTCAAAGCGCTGGTGCTCTCCCCTGCCCGGGAGTTTGCTACTGGGATACGGAAGATCAGCAGTGGAATCGACCAGGCGCGACTTTGAATGGAACCGTGCTGGCGCTCAAGTGGCTGAACAGCAAGGAATTACTGGCAGTTGGAGACCTCACTGTCAGTGGGAATCAGTCACTAGTCGCCACCTATGTTGTGAAGAAACAGAAATGGCAGACCTTCGAAGGGGCTTCCTCATCCGATATCCCGGGAACTATCACCGCATTTACCCCGGCCAATACCCAGGTGACTAAATTCTGGCTTGCGGGCGTGTATACCAACGGCTCCAGCTTCCTTGCCCAATATGACGGCTCCAGCTTCCAATTTGTGAGGAACATGTTCGATGATGGGACCGATATCCGTGGACTCGAGGTCCTGCCCATCAACCAAAACCATGATGACGTTAGCGTTCTAAACGACGACCAAATGCTTCTGGTCACCGGTCGGCTTCAGATCCCTGATTTCGGAAATGCCTCTGCGGCCCTGTACAACGGGACGACCATGCAGCCTTTCCTGCTGTCCTCGAAACCCGATGGCCAACCGGGCAGTATGGCCCACATGTTCTTCCAGAACCAGAACCCCTACACAAGCGGAGGTACGCATTCGTCTACTGAATCTCTTTAACACTGGATCCAGACTAACGCTCTAACCAGGCAAGCACCTCTCCAATGGTATCGTCGTGCTCATCTCCTTCTGTTGCGCTCTCGGCTGCGTCTTCTTGATTGTCATCGCCGGCATCATCTTCAATAAGATCCAGCGCCGTCGTCAGGGCTACATGCGGGCTCCGCAAGGATTTGGCACCGATCGGCCCTCTAACATGCGGAGACTTCCTCCGGAGTACCTCTTCAACTCCATCAAGCAACCCAACCCGGGTGCACCAGCCATCTGAGTTGGAGGAGGGCGTTCCGCCGCCCCGGACAAACATCTCCCATCTATCCACGAACCATATCCAGAGCGAAAATAAACGACATCTAATCTGACACCCCCACCATGTTGATTCCAATCTCATCTGATACCTCAGAACGGCGTTCTTGGGAACACTCCATCATATACCCGATTCTTTTATTCTTAATCTGTGATGCTGCGGACCTCCTCATTCTTTGTAGGAGGTCATTGATTTTTTGTTACTCCGTCATGCCTCTTCTTGTGCACTATGCTTCTGTATGTTCTCGCTGGCCCGGGGCTGCCTGACCGCCACTCCCGGCGCGCCTCCAATCCTTGTCATGTTAACCGTGATCTGTCTTGATATTGTACCATACACACATTGTCTGATCGCGTGACTTGGCTTCATCCCTGTGTGGCGTGGAAGTCATGTTACCGGTGGACATGTACATGTACATATTCCGCGCGAGATCGCGGTAATGAAATACTTCATGGACCTTTCCAAGTTGTTTATATCTCTGTTATGTTATTGCCGCGTATCGAGTAATTTCCTATCTAGCTAGCTAGCACCTCGATATAGTAATCACTTCTCTAAAGTACACACATGCTCTTTCCCAAATATTCCAAGCCTTACGACCACCATCACCTGATAAAACGCAAAGTACGAAAGAATATAAAAGCAGGTGAGCCCACATTCCAACCTACCACGAAGGATCCAACACTGTACCTGTGACCTACTCCATCCGTAGTATGATCGGACGCGGGGATCCACACGCATCCCAGAACCACACGATGACGGAACCTGATTCGTCCAAAGACACCCGATCTAAACGAGAACATGTGCAAAGTTAATTTATTTAGATCCCCGCTTCAGTTCCACGTTGTTGATCAGGTCATGACATGGTGCATCAGCATGGGGCTACTTAGTATCTACCTGCTACGTATTACTGGGTGGTAAGTAGATGGTTAGTTGCTTTTGGTCGGGACTAAGAATCGAATGGGAAGGCAGACGCGTGGAGGAAGGGAGGGGGAAATATGAACCAAGAAAGTAGTTGTCCAGTCAGGTCGGAGTCTGGTCGATATTTCAGATCACATGAGGGAGATATTTCCCCGCAAGGCAGAACCGGGCATGACGGACGGAGGAACGATAGTGCGGTGAGCCGGGGGTTGGGTTGGTGGGCGACTCGACTGGCCAGACCGATGGGAACGAACTAGGCCGACTCGGGAGATTGGCTTGGAGGCCTTAGTGTCCAACCCCGGCGCGAGGGTTGCTTGTCAAGTAGTGTTCGTTGGAGACTCAGACTCCAGCTGGACTAGCCTAGGCAAGCCCCCCCGCTTTCTTTTTCGCTCGCCTGCTGTGCTTTTCCCCGTCCCGCTCTCTGTTGGCCAGAAGCAAAAAGAAAAAAAATAGAGGGCAGAAAGCGGATGGTGAAGTTCTGGCCGACCTCTCGCGCTCTCCTTTTTCGCGCCTTTTCCCGTACGTACGGTCCCGTCTTCTGCAGCCAGCCAGCCTCCTTCGTCCTTCCTTTCCCTCGCCCTTTGTTTCCCCAGATTCATCGCTCTCCGCCTCGGTCCTCGGGCCTAGTCGCTTTTAGGTCGCTTTCGGGCTAGTCTCGCTGGCTGACCTCGACTTGCTCATCTCTCTCATCTTACCCCGAGAGTGTGTTATCGGTCCACCACTGAGCCCTTTCGGATGCTGCAGCTCATCCGTCAACGGTCCCATCCGGTATGCGATCCCGCACAGGCTGGTACGTCCAAATTCAGAACCCCCAGGTCAGGTTGAGAGACCGGGAACACCCGCCCCCAAACCTCTACCAGCGATCCTTATCCTTTCGTCCAAGAAGATCAAAACTGACTATTTCGCCTGTGGCATCCACTGCAGCTTAACGTGTCGCACTCGGAAACTCAAATGTAGGTCTACGGTCTTCCGATACCCACCGCTGTCGGAAAATCCAGGGCTAAACAGAAGGTGTCGGGCAGGTGACGAGCAGAAACCGGAGTGCTCTCAGTGTCGCAAAGGTGCCAGAGAGTGTCGTCCCAGCGAGGGCATTGTCTTTCGCCATCAGCAAAATGCGTCGATGAATAAAGATCTGAGCGATACCCCCACCGGACGTGGCAGTCTGAAGGGGTTTTACTCCTATAAGAATACCTTTGATGAAGACAGTGTCTGGCTCGACATCCCCAAACATGGTACAGACAAGAACTTTCCGGCATGAGGTTTGCAGTAGGGTCTGACAGGTGCTTCTCTCTAGTCATCTTCGTCGATAACTCAGATCCGTATGCAGAAGATCTTGAAGCCGCCCTAGGAGAGTCTGAAGCCGCCCTTCTTGCCGCCAATTCCCACACCCGAGCGTGGAGCGCCCAGCGTACGTTGTCCGCAGACGGCGAAACTCATCGCTTGGAAACTCTTTCGACCGTGGCAACTCACAACCGCCTTTCTTACCCTGCATTGAGCATTGATCAACAGTCCATCCCGCCGACAGATACCGGCACACCTTTCAGTAATATCCACACCACAGCATCTTCAGGTCCTTCTCCCACTCACGTGCGCGGCGTCAACGCACCTCTGGTATCTCCTCCTCTTTCGATAACCTCCAACAATAACAATAATAATAATATCAACTTCCTTCTTAATCCTTCACAATCTCGGTCACCGCCTGTTGATCCCAAAATTCAGCATGTCCCAGAGCGTAGGAGCTCCTCATTGACCTCCAGAGCAGTAGTGCCGCGAGCCACGTCTACTGATTCGAAGCCGGAGGTGCCTGCAGAAACAGATTATGAGATTGCGTATCTTCTGAGACATTTCTCAGAAGTACCAGGGCTTTGGTAGGTCTCGCGCAGTCATTTTCTGGAAGGCATTATTGATAAGATGATAGGATGGATCTCTTCGATCTAGGGACCTATTTCGCATCGTCCGTCCCGGTCAGGGCGCTCCAGAATCCCTTGTTGAAGTACGCCGCATGTGCGTACGCTGCGAAACAGCTGGGTCGCGTGAAAGGGGCAAAGGTGTCCACTGGTGGTATTCATACAAGACAACTTGCACACAACGTAGATTGGTCTTGGTCTGGTGCCAAGTACTATGAAAAGGCCATCCAACTCTTGATGAAAGAATTGCAGCCTGATAAAGGGCCTCCGCCGCTGAGTACCCCCGAGGCATTTGGCCAGTGGCAGGCTGCGGAATTGTGCGAAGACCACGATAATCCCCGAAAGCGAAGAAGACGTTACTCTGATAGTCGGTTTTCCAAGGGGACTCATTCTGATGAAATACTTGCTGCAACAGCCATACTGTCTGTATATGAGTTCTTGGATGCCACAGGTCCGGCATGGAATCGACATCTGAGCGGTGTAAAGTCTTTATTGGATGTTGCCGAGGTGGGAATGATGCCGGTCGAACAACGCCATTCTCCTGGGGGAACTGCATTGCAACAGCCGAAGTTATCGGGGCTCTCGAAGGCGAGGAAAGCGACGTTTTGGAACTTTGCGCGTCAAGATTACCTGGCTGCCTGTAAGTGCATACCGTAGTCTGCGAAGACCCTTCTTCTCAATGTGCTAACCAGGTCGCGACAGTCATCAATGAGAGTCAAACAAGATTAAATACCGATGATCTGGTGTTATGGACCGAGGCTGGTCTTCAGATTGACAGCATGGGGTTCATACGCTCCACAGGTTATCCTGATGAAGAGCCCATCAAGGAAGACCTCGTTTCCAACACACTCGTCTGGATTCTCTCGAAGATCGTGAACTTCATCAGCGCCGGAGATAACATCCAGCTGAACCATCCCGGTTCGATGGATCCGGGCCCTCTGGGCCTTTCACAGCAGGTTTTGCTGGAGCGATGGCACCGCCTGGAGGCTGAGCTTGATGCTTGGTATAATTGTCTGCCTGAGACGTTCCAGCCCTGTGGTCGGGTTAAACTGTCCAATTTGCCACAAAATAAGAACAGCGACAAGTTTGAAGGTGGCACGCTGTCTGAAATATGGTATAGCATACCAATGTGCTCCTCGGCGATGCAGCATTATCATATGGCTCGTATCCTCCTTCTTATAAATAAGCCGCACGCGTCGACCAGCAGACGGAGCACCATCACTGATAGACTCAATTCATATCGCTCGATCGAGAGTGACATCCGGTTCCATAGTCGTGAGATTGTTGGCATTGCCCTGGCCTGTCCGAATGGCTCGGTCCGGATCAACTCTCTCCAACCGCTGTTTGTCAGTGGCCAGTGTCTGACGGAGCCTGGAGAACGACGGGCAGTTCTGCAGTTGCTGCAAGGAATAGAAGCCGATCTTGGCTGGGCAACTGAGTACCGCGTAAATCAATTGCTCCGAGAATGGGGCTGGGATGAGAATTCGGTGGACCCGAGCGTTCCGTGAGTCCACGATCAAGAACTCCGACAGATTGGAGTTTTAGTTCACGGAGCGTTGATCATGAGTCGCTCTCCATGATTTGCTTCGGGCCTCGCGATTCTCGTCACCATCCTACAGGCAAAATCGACAGAACATTGCTTCACGTCGAGGTAATGCGGGATTTGTAAATATGCGGACCTGCCACATTGACACCGCCTGAGGACAGCATTTTGTCCGTACTGTGCAGGTCGACCCGGAATGGGTTGCATATATGTGCATCTGCGTTGAGAATCAGCCTGTTGCTTTTGATGATACCAATATGTTCTTGCTTTTGTTTCATACTATTGTACCGGGAACTGCATCTACCAATGTTACGGGGAGAAGAGCGAGACGAAGGACCCCTCCCTTTCATCCTTGCATCCACGCGTTTTCAGCGACTGTTCTCTTTTCTGCATCGGATCTGTGCGGGTTGTGTTTCTCGGCCGGGATTATAGCTATGCCGCTGCCTATACGGAGAAGTCAACAGGACAACATGCTGACTCCCGACAGTCAAGCAGCCGGCGTAGAATCCGTAAAAAGATGGGGAAGCGATTGAGGGTCCAAGTGGGCAGGCGAAGAGACCAGCACCAGAAAGAGCCTCGAAATTTGCGCCTGCCAATTGATTCGCCGCCAGGCACTCGGCAGAGTTGCCTGGGCCTTCCGCTTCTGGCAGCTGCAACATCGGGATGCACGTGCCGCCGTTCGGTTTGGCTGTCCCTTTTCAGCCCTCCATTGGAGACTTGCCCTCATCGAAACTTGAAGATCTGGCCCAACTCCGTCTGTAGCAGCAACCAGCGACATCTCGGGCCCCCGTCCCCCGGCCCAGCAGCGGATTCTGCATCCCAACCCATATCGGCAATAAGCAAGCCTTGTTTCTTGAATGATCGCCCGCGACGTCTAATCCCACGGAAGGTTAACCGACCAACCAATTGCCCCGCGCGCGCCCCATCCTGACAATTGCAATCCACACCAGACAAGACATCAAGACATCGTCGTTGATCTTCGTCCTCTTTCCTTGGTTTGAATCTAACCCCCCTTTTGTCTTCCCGGTGGGTTGCAGCGCTGTTCCGACCATTCCGATACTCACCGCAATTGGCCCTTACTAAGACATTTCCGATCATAACCGATGTGCAGGAAAGTCTTCCGACCTGGGTGTTGGAGTGGGTTTGCATGTGTATGCCGTACTTACGGAGTAGTAAGTCGGTAGTTACGGAGTACTCTGGATACAGTAGGTAGATAGGTAGATAGTGTGGAATCATGCTGCAGACCCCGGAAGGGAGGGTTTGGCGTTACACTGCGCTGCACTGCACTGTACTCTGCATTGATTAATTTACTAATTAATTTATGTGTTCCGATGATCCCACCATGGGTATGTATGTATGTACATACCCCGGACTAGAGAGCTCCTACGGGATTGTTCATCTTTACTCATGGAGTACGTTCCTGAGTGTCTGCAGTGTCGGGTGCTGAAGACTCTCGAGTGATCCTGGGATCGTCGAACCGAGGTTATCCAATGCTTGTTTCATCTTGGTATTATGTACGCTGGTGTTTGGTTCGTTTGGGAGGGGCTAATGCGGTTTTAAAACTTGTTTCTCACGTGAGTATGCTAAGAGGAGGGTTGAGCGGTTGCATGGAGTATCTATAGGACTGTATTGGTATTATCTGTTTATGGGGGGTTGGATATGCTGATATGTGTAGGTGTACTCCGTAGGCAGCAATATGTTGCTGGTCGGGATCTCCATACACACCGAGCTGTAGTCAAGAATGTGACGCTTCTAATATATTAGAATTAGTAAAATACAGGGTATATCACATTATCGGTTTCGAAGCCGCTTCGACATCCGCCTCGTTGTCGTCTGCGAGGCCTGCACGAGCGTGCTTGGTTTTCCGTTCGGCTTGACCTCGTCGTCTTCTTCCACCTTGACGCTATCTTCATCAACTGGTCTCTTCGTCGGTACTGCCATTGCGGTGGTAACCTCGGTCTCGATCTCGACGTCTTCCTCGCCGTCTTCTTCCTTTTTCACTTCAGTCTTCACCTCCACCTTCTTCGTCGTAGCAGCCAGCCGATCCGAGAACGTTCTCAGATCAGCCGTGAAAAGCACACTATGAGCCCAACCAGCTTCCTTGCCCCAAAGCTTGCGGAAATGGTTCCCCACTGCATCATAGGTAACCTTTGTTAGGGACTTATTCGACCCTTTGCCGAATTTGTAGTCTCTTTGCGCGATTTGCCACACTATAGGAAAGAATACTGTTAGTAAATGCACCACCCAACAACAAGAACAAAGAAAACCAACCATGCGTATCAACCGGCACAGCCTCTCCCCAGCCCAATCCCATCAAGCACACACAATCCGCAACCTTCGGCCCCACCCCCTGCAACGCGAGTAACTTCTCATGCGCCTCCCGATACCCCTCCCTCCCCTCGGGCCTCATCTCACCCCCCGGCGCAGCCTCCACGCCCCACGCAGGACACTCCGGGTTCCGTAACGAATCAAGCCATCCCTCCTCCCGCTCTTTAGCCACCATCACCGCCGTCTGGTAAATGTATTTCGCGCGGTACCCGAACCCCAACCCGCGTAGCTTCCCTTCCACGTCCTGGGCCGTGAGGGCCTCCGGGGGCGGGAAACCATGGTATGCACGACCATCCACGGAGCCGATGTGAGGTCCGTAGTTCAGACAGAGCTTCTCGACCATCTGTGAGATGCGCGCGATGTTGTTGTTGCTGCTGCAGATGAACGAGACAAGCGCTTCCCAGGCGTCTTGGCGCAGGATGCGGATGCCGGTGAATTGGGAGGCTTTTTTGCGAAAGTTGGGGTCTTGCGATGACCATTCCGTGTAGAGGGTGGTGAGGTTGGTGGTGAGATTGAAGTAGTGGGTTAGGAGGGAGAGGGTGGTGGTGTCGTCGTCATTGGGGCGATTGAGGGGTTTGGATGCACGGTAGGTTCGGTAGTAGAGATGGGTTGGATCTTGTTTCAGGGAGAGAAGACGGCCGTGGAGGACGCAGCGCCATTCGTCGGTGTCGGGGACGTTGTGCCATCTGGAGAGGAGGATTGTTAGAGTGGATGAGTGAGAAGATGGAAAGGGTACATGCAATTACCGGAAGGATTGACCACAGCGCAAAGTAGTGTTGATACAGAGTTCATTGAGGCTCAGGGGCAGCTTGCGCCATTCTGAAAAGGCGCCTACGGTCATGATTTGGATCAATTGAGTCCAGCCTGTCGCTGAGCAGCGAATTATGCGGAGTACTCCGTCGAGGCAGCGCCGATAAAACGATAAGTCATTCTGCCGGGGCTTGTCCGACACAGCAGGCGGTCGGGACTCCGCAGACAGGACGCGCTAGGCCGCTTCGGACGGGCCTTGTCGCCGATCGTCACCTGCGAGTTTTCCCTCCAGCGCAGCTCTTACTTCCTCCCCAGACCACCCTGCTTCTATCGTGTCGGTGCCATCGAGCTCGCCATTCGGAGTGTCTGATCATTTAGGATCTCCTCCGAGCCTCGTCTGCTATCAATTCGTTTCGCCACGTGGAACGGGAAAAAGGAGCCCAAGGCAGGTTACCGGAGCTTTCATAATGAACGGTGATACATACACGGCCAGAGGTGAGCTTTATCTTCCCGGACTATTTGCTGCTATGTATTTGTGTCTAATGATCTTTTCGCAGACTCTGGTCGCTCTAGGGATTACTACGTGAGTGATAATCAAGGGGTTGTTTGTCCGAAACTAACGGGATGGAACGACAGCGCGAAGAGCGCCGCGAGCGCGGAGACAGACCAGAAAGGGGAGAACGAGGAGAACGAGGGGAGCGAGCTGAACGCGGAGAACGCGGAGAGAGAAGACGGTCGAGATCTCCTCACTACAGCTCCAGGACCTCCCGACGCGAATTCGAGGCGGACTCCTACTCGTCCAGCCGCGACTACCGCGCCCGAGAACGCGAGGACCGTTATTCTAGCCGCAGAGAGGACCGGGAATGGGATCGGGATCGCGGCGACCGTGGCGATCGTGGCGACCGCGGTGATCGCCGACGCAGAGACTTCGAAGAGAGACCCGCTCGCCGCGAGAGAGGAGAGAGAGACCTGTTTGAAGATAGACCCCGACGGGAAGGCAGAGGCGATCGCGACCGCGGCGAGCGCGAGCGCGATCGGGGTGCGGAGCGCGAGCGTGGTGAGCGGAGGGAGCGCAGACGGAGTGCATCGCCTCCTCCGCGCAAGAGGGAGGCCACGCCTGATCTGACAGATGTACTGTCGGTGTTGGATCGGAAGCGTCGCTTGACACAGTGGGATATTAAGCCTCCGGGCTACGAGAATGTCACTGCTGAACAGGCGAAGCTATCAGGTGAGAATATCCATGTTCTGAGTTAACACAGGTCTAATGCGGCCGTAGGCATGTTCCCTCTTCCCGGAGCGCCCCGACAGCAGCCCATGGACCCCAGCCGTCTCCAAGCTTTCATGAACCAGCCGGCTGGCGGAAACACCGACACCTCCACCCTCAAGCCTGCCAACTCCCGCCAGGCCAAACGTCTGTTTGTGTCCAACCTGCCGCCGACTGCCACGGGAGAGAGTCTTCTGGCCTTCTTCAACATTCAGCTCAACGGCCTCAACGTTGTCCAGAGCGTGGATCCCTGTATCTCGGCCCAAGTGTCCCCAGACCATGCCTTCGCTCTGCTCGAGTTCAAGTCGCCCAATGATGCTACAGTTGCGCTTGCGTTTGACGGAATAGTGATGGAGGAGCAGGAGGCTGCCGGCAATGGTGCGGCCAACGGTGCCGCTCAGGGCTTGGAAGTGCGCCGCCCCAAGGATTACATTGTCCCTGGCGGCGTCGAGCAGGAATACCAGGAAGGCGTGTTGCTGAACGAGGTTCCCGACTCTCCCAACAAGATCTGCGTGTCCAACATTCCCAACTATATCCCCGAGGAACCGGTGACGATGCTGCTTAAGTCGTTTGGAGAGCTTAAGTCGTTTGTTTTGGTTAAGGATGCTGCTACGGAGGAGTCTCGGGTATGTTCCCGCTCGCTTGTCTCAAGATGTGTACTGACGTGACCCAGGGCATTGCGTTCTGCGAGTATGCCGATCCCTCGGCGACGACTATCGCTGTGGAAGGACTCAATGGGATGGAGCTGGGTGACCGACACCTCAAGGTTGTGCGCGCTAGTATCGGCATGACGCAGGCGGCCGGTCTTGACATGGGTGTCAACGCGATGTCGATGTTCGCCAAGACAACCTCTCAGGACCTGGAGACCAGCCGCGTGTTGCAGCTGCTGAACATGGTGACGCCGGAGGAGCTGATGGATCCCGAGGACTACGATGGTAAGCTTTCTGCTGGAGATGCAAGAAGACTGCTGACGTGACAGAAATTTGCGACGATGTGCGCGAGGAGTGTTCCAAGTACGGCACGGTGGTCGAGCTGAAGGTGCCCCGTCCATCTGGTGGTAGCCGACAGTCTCCGGGAGTGGGTAAGATCTTTGTCAAGTTCGACACGGTGGAGTCAGCGACGAGTGCTCTGAAGGCGCTTGCGGGCAGGAAATTTTCGGACCGGACTGTGGTGACGACCTACTTTTCCGAGGTAAGCTCCCTTTCTTTCTTGTGGTCGTTCGGTACACTAACTTTGGCAGGAAAACTTTGATGTCAGCGCCTGGTAATGTAGGATGGTATACACATAACTATTTTCTTTGCTGTTCTTGCCTTGACATTGATGACGCGTAATTGATTCAGGCTATGCCTGGGGCAGGCGATGCACAAGCTGTACGGGGATGATCCTTTAGTATTGGGTTACGATGTATCATAGCGAATGACTTGGATCTGCAACAGCTGATGTAGATGCCACTCGAGCACGATCCACATGCATCTCCAGCCGAGCCATACCATATCGTCCCAGACCACCCTCGGTTATCCCTCGGCATCCCCCCCCCATCCCCATATAAACAGAAGATAATGAACCCGACGCATAATCCCATCCTCCATCACCAACGCTGACGTATACCCGGATCCCCCCCCCCCCTCTTCCATCCCTAGTATACACTACCCTAGTACTCCGTACTACCTAGGCAGATAACAGGCCACATATACATCACTATACAGTATGCAGTATACTAGGACTAGTACTAGTATATGCCGCACAGACCTACAATAATAAGTCCAGGATTTAGTTCACCGAAATTAATTTATCGTTGTCGTGGGAGTGGAGGTAGCATCGGACCCTGCTTACCCTTGCTCCCTTATGCCTTACATCTTAGTGTCTAGACCTGTTGGATTTAGTAAGGTGTGGTGAGGTCGGTTGGAGAGGTGTCCTCCGTACTCCGCTCCGCCGCGTAGTATCTCCATGCCCTGTCTGTCCTGTCTGTCCTGTCCTGTCCTGTCCTGGCCGAGATCGGTCTCGGTCTCTTCCCTACTCCCCTCTTCTAGTTCCCCAACAGTGTTCGGTTTCCCCGCAGGATACGGACTATATTAGAAGTCAGATATTTTCGGATAATTAGTCAGTAAGCACCAAGCACTGCACTGCATGCATAGTACTTCATAGATACATACTACTGAGACATCTGAATGTAGACTCGGCTAGATCATCGAGGTAATAATTAACCTTCGGGAAGGCCGTAGAATCACGCCATCTACATATGCACTTAGGAACTAGGGAGGAGGAGGAGGAGGAGGAGGAGGAGGAGGAGG